GCAGGATTTGTTCTTCTGGAAATTATTTTAATGCATCGATGATTTATGCTAGATGCAACTGGACAACTAGTTTGTTCACATTTATTATAAGAACATATTCTTAATGCTTTATCCTCAAAATGTGTCAAAAATTAAGAACATATTAAGAGCAAATATAATATAGGCAGAGGATAAAATACAAAATAATATAAGAATGTAAGAACATTTATATATCTTTTATGGCAGGTTATGCTTTTTGCTAATTTTATGAAAGGAACAATATCTGCATTGTACAAATCCACGATTTATCTAGCCTCATTGTTTGAAAAAATGGAAACATCTACCCGCCGAACCGCAGTGAACTCCCATTTCTGGCTAACTTCTCTAGCCCTCGAAATGACGATCCCATTTTGAAGTCATTGTCGAATTTTCTCATTCGAGAGCCACAAACAAGAGACATTTCACCCTTGCAGATGGCTTGTAAATTGCCTGTTACAGATCGTTACTGGTCGTTCCTACTTCAGTATCTAGCTCCTCTAACTATCAAGCTTCAAAACGTAAAAAGTTAGAATTTTGAAGCAGATAATTATGGCTAACAGTATATTTACAATGTAAAGCCAGGCCATATGTTATATATTATATTTCATATGTTATATATGATACATTGTGTTATGTTTGCTATGCTTTCGTGAGTTATTTTTTCGAAAACGTTCCTTTTTTGCATTTTCTATCGAAAAAACCTTTTAACTAAAAAGCTAAATCATCCAGGAAGAAATTTGCATTGCAGTTTTAGCTTTCGGTTTCTAAACAACTCCCAGTGATGTAATTTCTGCATGATCCCACGCACGATCAATGACAGCTTTGCTTGTCACAACCAAAACAATCTATTTCCTTGTTTCGAAGATGCTGACGCTGAAAAAAGATCCAGAAAACGTCTGGGATCAAATGTAACTCCTGTATTAGCCAATCATAGTGATGGACACACCTTTCACTGTTAACAGAACGTATGAAGCAGAGAAACTGAAGGGAAGTCGTGGATGAAATTAATTCACAAAGCCTGTAAATAGCTGAATTTATGTTCTGATTACACTCTTTTCATTTTATAAGAACAATTTTAAAAGAATACGAGCCTCAAAACTGGTCAAAAGTTAAGAACAAATTAAGAACAAGCTGAGGCCGAGCTTCTGCAAAATGCAATTTTGAACAACGCTCTATCTCAAGAATGAGAACTATTGTCACGTGTGGATGCTTTTTTGGTGAATATTCAAACTTGTCGGCAAATGAAGGTTGTCTGACTCACTTCTAGAGTGGAAAAGCTAGCAATCACACTGCTAACACTCTATTGATATCAGAACAAATTAAGAACAATCCAGCCTCCGATTTTCAAAAAAATAATAACAGTCAGCTTGAACTTAAATTAACTGGTTCTTAAAAAGAAAGAGTGCATATGAAAATTAGGGACCTGGTCTCTCCTGCCGCAACAAAACTTCTTATTTAAATCGCATTATACTTTTCATTTATTAATTGTTTCTGCATCGACCATATGTACGTTCGCAGCTAAGTTTGAAACACACTTTCTGATGTTACCGACAAAAAATAAAAACATTTTGAAAACTCCAGGCTGAAGCAGGGTTGGAGGCTACTGTGCCAAAGGAACTATTCTTGGTTCCAAATGTCATCAGTGGAGAGCTACTGTGCCAAAGGAACGATTCTTGGTTCCAAATGTCATCAATGGAGGGCTACTGTGCCAAAGGAACGATTCTTGGCTCCAAATGTCATCAGTGATATGGCAGAGTCAGGAAACCATCAGGGCCCCACGCCCACTGGTTTGAGGAAGGTTGTAGAAAAAAAGAAATTGAGGAAGGTGACCAAATATTTGAAAACTTGAGAAGGTTAAAAAAGTCGCATTCCTTTTTGGTTTTCAAAACATAGGTAGAAAGCTATGAAATAATCTTTATAAACCTCGTTTTTGATATGAACGTGTTTGCAGAACTGCTTCGCACTGTAAAATATAGGCATTAACTTTTTATAATTTATGTATTTTGGTTATGGCACGCTTTTGATATAAATTGATATAAGCATGTAACTTAATATGACTTAGCAAACAAGAAACGATTTCATAAAATGTTTTGGAAAAACAGTGTTGCAAGGAAAAGAGATCAAGACTAGTTGAGTACCCCCAATTTCCTGATCACGCCCTTATTAAACCCATTAAAAATGAGGGTGGTGTTAAATTCAGGTCTTCTTGACCGGAGGAATGTTGACAACTTTTCTGGACTTTGTATGAAGAATCGTCTGTTATCCTGAAGCTCGGCCTAATTTTGGCGTTAAGAGTCTAGAATGTGCCTTTATAAAGAAAAATTGGGGACACAATTCCAGGACTTTAAGCGAAGTATGGTTTTTTACAAGAACACCTTTATAAGAACACGAGCCTCAGAACTGGTCAAAATTAAGAACAAACCAAAAACAATCCAGCCTAAAAGTATTTTGTTAATATAATACTCTTGAAATAATGTATGCTTACAAAGCGACAATATCAATAACGTGGAAGTAAAAGTCTTGCACCATTTCGATGTTGAAATGATGACAGGTCTTCAAAATACAGAAACTGAAAATATATCTATCCATGTTCATTTTCTTTAAATTAAACCTAACTTATATCTATTTTTTTAACTTCCAAAGCCCGCAATTTCCTTATTAAGTACACAAATTAACAACTACATTTTGATAATTACTAATTTGAGTTTGATTTGACTTCAGGTTCAAAACAGACACCTTAGTATTAGTCTATTTTCAGGTTTTCATGATATTTGTCATAATACTGATTTCATGACAACATCAAGTTAAAAACTTTTAAAGAATTTTGCCATGATTAGCAATTGATAAATTTCACCCGAAACGATTTGGAGAATTGGAATTTTTGAGTAATTTCCAAAACGAGGCCTTATATTGATTGGCCAATTCTTTATACGGCTAAACCATCATCATCATCATTGTCAAAGACCGTCTTTCCCACATTCTTCATATAGAAAAAAATACGCCGAAAAGACTGGAGACCAGATCGAACAAGGAAAATATCGAGGGGCAAATCACACTCTAAGAAAATCTTATTCACCTTTTGTTAAAATCCTATTGCAGGCCCGTCGGATCCAGGGGGGCTGGAGCCCTCCAATAATAGTCAAACTGTAGTATGTTTCCTTTATAATAGTGTACTGAATGAGAAGGTAAACAATGGGCAGCCCCCCCCCAATATGAATTTCGTTCCGACGGCACTGTATTGTTTTATCTGAAAATCCCCAGAAACCCTTTTGTTTTAGACAAAATCTCGTACGCTATTTGCAAGAGTGAATCACCCCTCGGAAAATATCATGTTAATCATCAGTAGGTCTTCATACTGTGTTCAATGTGTGTTCGACCTAACCCGTGTCCATGGCATCATGTTTACGAAAATGTGAAAGATTCGTCTTAATGTTCATGCAGAGAATATCCGTGCACCAAAACGTCATATTATGCTTATTATCTTTAATGGTGGTAAAAAACGATTGTGCTGTAAAAACAGAATATGAGCTTTAAATTTCTCGTACAAGACGCCGTGTTTTCATTAAATCTTATAAAACATGGTAAAAATCAAATTAGAATGAATCTTGCGATGGCAACAATAAACTTCAGCTTTTACTAGGGGCTCTTACTAAACAATACTTACGTTCATTGTCTTGGCAAACACGTTTGCTGTAAAGAATGTCTTAGTGTGCACGTTTCCGTTTGCGTACAACGTACTGGTAATACGCGATCTACAATTCCATAGCTCGAAAATGGGTTACATAGTTTTAGTAAACAACGTATGCATAATAACGAGAAATCTCCAAAAAAGTATACCTCAAAATTTGATCCAAATCAGGGCTTTTATGTTGCTTGATCACATGTCCTACAATTCCAATCTATAAATGCAGGCTGCGATATTCCAGTTTGGTCCAAAAAACTTCAAGCGGCATATTTAGCTCTTTAACCTTACTTCCATGATATTTTAACATGTTTACTGGTCACGTTTTGGTTATCATGGAAAAAGCGGAATACAAACGTTTATCTTAAGCCCACTAACAATGCAGTGCAGAGCTGTCTTGAGACAGCACGTATGCGAGAAGTCGCGCAGTTAGGAGAATATTGGCCAAAAAGACAAAGGCACAATATTTGTTGCTTTTTGTTTATTTGTATTTACAGCAAAGCTCATCATGCAATTGGATTGCGTTAAGTTCCCTGTAGTAAATAGAAACGACAAAACCATTGCTCTAGCACCTAGCTAAATGCCATGCTGATTAGATGAAATTCCATCAACCTTAATTTCATAAGGGACTTTGCAATCGGATTTGATTCTCTAGGGACTTATTAACAGATCTTTGCTGTCTCTTTGGATTTGGTTCATCGTATTTATAGACGGTGCTAGTGGTAGTCTTTCGATCAATTTGAACTGGGTTGAACTGAAGGTGAATTGCTTCAAATCCTCTTCGCTAAACAGGGAGTATCTCATCTCTCTTGGGTGAAATATTTCACTTTTTTCCTCTTACTTCTGGAATCTTGAAATTTTTGTTAGTATAATAAGACTTCACGAACGTCAAAGTATCTACTTAAAAATAATTGATGTTATAAAAGATAGGGCAAATGCATTGGCTTCAGACTGGAAAAGGGCCTTTTCTTGTACATCTTCTTGTCGAGAGAAAGCAAAATTGGGATTTGTGGAGCAGGGGGCTAGGGAACAATAAATTTTGCTCGTATAGAATTTGGAAGTGGATAGTCATCAATCCTCATTGGATTCAGTGTTAGCCCCCCTCCCCCATTTTACTCGACGCTCCACGTTGCCTGTACCTTTCCACTGGTTGTATTGCAAATCCTACTGCATTTACAACTACAACAACACGAGTATCACACTTGGCAGTTTATGCAAACACGGATGTCACCAATCGACATCCCTTACAAGAGGCTCTACTCCAATTTCCAGAGGGTTTAAGCAATAAACACACACACACTTTTCATTATAGCAGTAAATTTATATGACTGTATAGATTCTGTCACATTGCTCCACTAAATAACTGCTACACATTTGATAACGTGCTTAACATACTGATAAAAAATGAACAGTTGCGCTTCTTGTGGTTTAAGGTAATATAAAGATTCCAAAAGAAAGCATAACGAAGTTGGACTAATAAGAATTATATGTACAGTTGGGAAAGACTACATATTCAATGTACACCATCACCTTATACTGAATGTACTTATTTCAAGGAAGGGTCAAGTTAGCACAGATATAATGTAACATAGGTCATGCATAGTTTCCCTGGGAGCATTGCCTTCTCCTTCACTACGTTTTTTTCTGGGAAAACCTTTGACCCTTTGGCATTATTCTCTAAGGCTAAAAAAATTAGTCCTCGGGTTCTCAACTTCAACAGACCAAAGCTACTTATTGTGCATTATGCAATTAATGGACAACTTCCCATATACTGTACGTTTTATCCATACATAGGAAATCACAACTAATACTGATGAATGGCTTTTTGAAGGAGCGTTTGTGATCTTTAACGAGACAAATTTTCTTCATTTAGTCATCTATAGAGGAATGTGATTTGCTCAAGGCAAAATGTTGTTGAAAATGAGTGAACATGCACCATTGTTAAGCTAAACGTAAAGTGCTAAAGGGCCAAGAAAATGACAACCTTTAAAAAGTGAATAGCCGTGCAATTCACATAGTTATTAATGGTATTCTGAGCACCTGTTGGGTATTTAAAACAGTTTGAAAATTCCTTATTGGGTTTTTAATAACCAGAATAGTTTCTCACCATCAGATATCATATGAATTGAGAAGCATGTCTAAAGTCTGAAATAATGAACATAATTAATGCTTAACAAGCAATTTTAAGAAACAAAAACGACTTTTAACTGCACATTTCAAAACGCGACCAATGTTCAGCGCATTAGGAACATATCGACTTTACGTGAAACAGTAACAATAGTAGAAACGCAACTGTATTTAATTGAGTAACAACAGAATTTAAATCCATTGTAAATTTCATTAATGTATTGAACAAAGAGCGGTATATCTATTCACAAACGTAAAAAAATTCTAGAAAGGTCTCTGCCTTTTCACAGCTAATGTGAATAGTCTTTATTAAAGCATACAGAACAGTTCAAAATATGTTGTCGCAAATTTAAGGCAACCGGGATACGAAGGCCTGACAGCTCATTAAAACAGCAAGAAAACATGTGGGTTAACAAATTACTGGTAATTCGTGAAATTTCAAATTCAAATGCAATTCTCGCATTTTACACATAAAAGGGATACTAGCAACAGTACAATAGACTAAAGACACATTTTTCACACAGCTGTTTGTATATATATACGTATATATGAAAATAATTGTTAAGATTTTTGAAGAAAACTTAGAATCCCTCTGCGACATCCAACTAGGCTAAACGTTGAATGATCGAAATTTGGAGGGGATCTGTTGGGTAATTGCATGAATGCATTGATTGCTGCTCAACAAAAATTACTACCAAAGATATTGGTTGCTCAATTTGAAACAGACGTTCTTAACATATCACCCCCATGACTACATGGATGACAATGCAATTCGATAAATGAAATAGGAACTGTAAACAGAGGCGGCAAGGATTAATTGAATATTCTTACTAGATACACAGGCCAAGCCGAGCAGTTTTTGCAGACAGGAAGGTGTGCAGGACAAAGACGACTGGTTTTGGACATCCATGCAAATCTAACTCCTGCAAGAAAAGTGGTTTGTTTGTAGAAGAAAATAGGAAGTAGGACATTAACATTTGCAGCTAAATGTTGTCGTATAATTATGGCAAGCTTAATAATAAATGCAGAGATAAATAGATTATGAAATAAACAAAATAATAAATGAAAATGACAAAATCGATAATTAATAAAGGTACATTAAATGTGATGGCTGATGATAATTTGCAATTTCAAGACTTTGGTTAAAATCGTTTGCACCGGTCTTGCCAATAATTTCAGAAAATATGAAACAGGCAACCGATCTAAATAGTAAACCATTCAGTGCCCTAGGTGTGCTTTTAAAAAATGCACAATAGAAGAGTCCTTATTATCAAAGCTGTAGCGCTCTAAAATTTGACAGGAAACACGACAAGAAACTGCATAATATTTATCAATAAAGAAAAAACTATATAGTGTATATTCGAAACTACAACAACATTTGTTCAAATTCTTTTACTTTCTTACTGTACAACCATGGTTTACTGGTGAGAATATAACAATTTCCAAGAGAAGGCTTTTGTGCACTGAGCACGATTTATGATCTTTGTTGCTCATGAAATCGCTATCCATTTCCAACTAATCAATGCAGCTCTTTTTGGTGCAACACAAAGTCTTACTAAAAAGATTACCTTTTCGCCATCTTCCTCGCCAAAGTCCAGCCACAACAAACGCTTTCCATCATCAGAGGACATTCTCAATTTTTCGAATGGATAATGCCAGATTAAAGATAAACGCCCATCATCAAAACCAGATGTATTTGACAGCGTGAAACCATTTTCCCAGTGAATTGTTAATCGACATTCTTGCGCATCCGAGCTTACAGCTGTTTCAGATAAAGGATTTTATTAGGCACTTGACTTAGAAATAGGCAAAATGATTTCATGATATGGAAATAGAAATATGGAAAGAAAATTGGCTCAAAACAAAAATTTAAAATCATTGAAAGCTTTTTATCTGACACTCTTCAGAGTACAAAACTTAAGAACATATATCGAAAAGTTGAGCCATTTTTTACCTTTGTACCAAGAAAAATTATTTGGCAATAAATTTAAACTAACCGATATTTCGCCTGGATATTCAGGACTTTATCAGAGTTACTCTGAAGAAATATTTCATTGCAAGTTTGAAAGATTTGGACAAAGGGCCTATCTGCAGCATACCTTTCTTATGGCAAACTCTATTACAATTAAACAAAAGTGTGCAAAGATTTACTTCAACAAATCGCTTCACCAAATGAAATTTACAATAACAAAGCATAGCTCTTGAAAAAAACTCTTGAAATTTATTTGGAAACATGCATTATAAGGAGAACAATCATTAAAGCACAAAAGCACAATAAACTGAACTCTCTATCTAAACTTTCTAAAGAAACGATAACATAAGAAAATTTGAATAGCGTGGTTTTAAATATTTAAAAATTATGGATAAGATTTTCTTAACTTCTGTTAAACAATATCTCACAATTATATACAAATTTCAGTTACAGTTTTCTGTTTAACAATAATATCTGATTCACATTGAATTAAAAGCTTTTTTCCCTTGATTCAATATTCATAATGGCATTGAAGATCTTAGAAACAAAAACCTTAAGATTTTTGAAAACAACCAATATGATGTATATATAGCGAAAACTCTTTTCCATTGGCGTAATACTAAGTGAAAAAAATGTTCTTTAAAATTGTTTGAAAAAAAATTGATTCAATAAATGTGATTTACATGATTATGTCTATAAATTCAACATGACTTCATGCAGAAATAGGATAATTATTAATCTAGCAAGACTATGAAGATTTGTTCTTTATCACCTAAGTAATTTGAACAGTCTCTTAAAATTGTGGCCAAAAATCCTCTACCCTATTGGGAGAGAAAAAATAGTCATAGAACCTCTGAATTTTTCTTTGCATTTGGCTCAAGTCGCATTTGTATTTGCAATTGACAAAAAGCCATGGAGTAATACAGTGTTTCTTGAAAGAGCTTTCTGACAAGAACCTCTGAGAGTGCCCTTAAAAAGGTTCCTATTCCACATCAAAGTTTCATTGTTTTGTGTATTTGCTACCTTATTTTTTGTTTTGCTGCCATATTCCAGCTTAAATAAATGCAATTTTCAATATCAAAACATTGAGGCAAACCCAGTTACTTGTGCTAGGTTCAGGTTCTGGAAATTCTTAGAATAAACAATCATTGAATGTAAAAAAAAATAGAACCAAATACCACAATTGATTTCCTTGATAAGTGCAGCTGCATTGTGAGCTCTGTCAACAAGTGCTCTTGCCCAATGTGTCAGCTCTTTTGGGGTTTCAACTCTAAACAGGTGGGCCTCAACACCATTTTTTGTTCCAGTTCGAGTACTGAATGTGAGCTCGGCTCCTTGAAGAGCACTGTTAGATGTTGCACCAGAATGTACTAACCTACAATTAAGAATATAGAGTGCTGACAATCATATATAGGCAAAGCTTTCCACCTTTTGTGTACTGTTTAAAACAGAACAGGACACAACTAGAAATCAACCAGTTTTATACATTGAAGTATCCAGCCCATAAATGGGAATACGAATGTGCTATGTGTTCCAATGGCATTATACAATCTTGAGAATTACTGGAACAAACATTATATACATGCAGTCCTGGTAATATTAGGCGTGCGATCACACGCGCACACCTCCACACACGCCTAGAACTCCTGAGGCGTGATTTCTATCGCACACACAGTTCCACGTTTTGAATTACTATTCTTTTTCTCTTTTGTTTCTTTCAATTTCATTTGTGTGGGTTAAATTGATGGCATTCCCGGAGGCATTTTAACTCTTTACTTCGTTTCCATTAGGCCCGGTTTCCATTACTCTGTTATTCTGTTACTCCGTTACTGTATGTCTCTGTTCTCTCGATCCGTTCGTTTCTTATTTTCTTGAACAAATTTCCCCGGGCCACTCTGTAATGGTCAAAACGATAACGTGGGTAATTCCATTACTCCATATTTGTCTGTTATCATATCCTTAGCTTGAGCTCTTTTTGAAACTGAGATCGAATGACTCAGTTTTGAACAGCATTTTTGAATAACTTCAGTTTGGTATCAAATGACACCGTACCAGCACGCCGCCAAATTTCATATTACCAGGACTGTACATGTATACATGTAATTTGCTTGGGATACAAATACATATAAATTATTAATGAGCTTTCACATCTGTGCAACTAACTGTTAATCTGAATGCTGACTGCTTACCGAGTAGCAAGAAGTGGGTGGCTGATGTATGGAGATGCCCAGTCATCACAAGACCAAGGAACTACATCATATAAAAGAACATCTTTATCTGTTAGTGCAACAAACACTGGTTTCCATTCAAGTCTTCTGACATCTGGCATTTGCACTTGTTCTGCAAGCCACCCCATTGTTCTGACCTCTCTGTTGCCAGGACTATTCAATAAATCATTTGCTTCTTCCAAAGCTAAAACAAAATTTTAAGACATTACAAAAGACTGCAAAGTATATGATAGCATTTGCAAGTTGTTTGTTGCTCTTCAGTGGCGGCCTGGCAGGGAGGGCTGGGGGGGGGGCCAGGGCCTGACATTTTTATAGGGGCGCCAAAGCTTGTAGAAGGCGCCAAAACTCAAAAAAGGTTTGATACAACCTACTTGTCTGGTTATCAGGTCTCTAGGAGGCCAGCAAAGACATAAAAGACGCCATAAAATTCAAAACTTTATTGGGGCGCATTCATTCTCACTTCAAGGGCATGTCTTTGTGCCCCTTCAATACCGTATTATGTTCTCAGGGGCGAAAAAATTAATCAATTTTTTAAAGGATTGTCAGTAAACTTACATGTTAAATTCTTTTGTGTGGAGAACACAGCACTCATAGTGCACACAGACTGTCTTTAGGGTGTCGGGGACAGTCTGTGTTTAGGGTGTCCGCACTCATGGCCCCCTTTCAGGGAAAATTTTGATTTTCGATGAGTCTCTTTGGCTCTGCTGGCCTTCAGAAACCTGCTCATGTGGGGGTCAGTAGATTTTGTCTCATTGCTTCATTTCTCATGAAAGGATCAATTTGTCTCGACAATACAAAGATAGGATGGATTCTTTTCCGTATTAAAAAGTAATGAAATCCATTTTAAGACTGGAATTAATCAAACATGCTAAAAGGGTGCCTTAAAAATAGCAAATTTTTTAAACGATTTCAAGAAAATGACTGCAAGAAATATTTTGAAATGTATTTTAAGCCAATCTAAAGGGCGTGGTCACAAAAATGTTCTGCTCGCTCCGCTCGCAAGAAACCTCTTTTATTCGGAGTTATACCAAGGGCCTCTGACAACCTCTTGCCAGCCCTTCCCAATGTTGGCTTTTTAGTCAAATGAAGCTATTAACGCGAGCCCCCCCCCCCCACTTTGAATTTCTTGGCACTGCCCCTGTACTGCCAATATTCTCAGGAAAAAGATAATAGTGTTAGTTATGGAGGGCGCCATTTTGATGCTGCCCCCTCCCCCAGTTGAAAAGGGCCAGGCCGCCACTGCTGCTCTTGTGTACTTTCTTTTACTTCTATGGTCTGTGCATCACTGATTATGATGCTCAATTCTTCAAATAAGGTAATTGATGAAAATTGACCAAAGTTATTCAATCAACAGATTCAGTGATAAATATATGCGTACAAAAAAATATATCATATTATGTTTTTTCAATTTGACTTATTCTTCTCTATATTTCTTCTGCCTATGGAGAAAAAATTTGATGCCCAATTTTAAACATAATATGGATATAAATATTTGTTTCATTTGAGATAATTTAGCCAAATATCAAATACTTGTTAGTCTTCAACACAATCTAAATGGTTTAAGATTGAGATGAAAAATGACTAAATAAATCACAAGACTCAAAGAGAAAGGATAAGTAGTTACAAGAGGTGTTATCACCGTAATAAATTATAATAATTAACTGTATAATTTAGACCTCGTGTTCTGCCCAACTCTGTTATTTTATGATATCGGTGAGCCTACACATTGTTTTTCTGTCAGATATATTTCTAGATATGGTAGATAACAGAGGGCTTTATGCCAAAAATATTCAAACCAATCTATGAGTTATATTTAACTTTGACTACTTAGTTAAAAAATTTCCTTTTCATTGTTGAAACAATCACTGCAGAGCATGACAATTGAACCCAAGATGCAGACATGGTAGCACTTAGGGCCTACCTAAAAACTAGATCTATTATAATATATACTGGAAAAGTTGATAGTGCTAGCACACCTGGCATCTTTAGATGATTTTTGCACACCTGAACCTGAGGTGCAGGGTTGTTTGCACACCCAATATCTTGTCAAAATGAGCCATATTATGAAAACCGATTGCAACCAATGATAGGTTTCCATAAAATTTTCCTCCCAATTACATTACATTCTGACCAAATTTTACCTCTGTTTAAATTCTCATTTTCTGGAGTTCAGATTATGGAAGTATGTGACAATGATGCATGCAGAGATTATAAAATACGAATAGGGAAAATACCCAAAAATGCTTATACCAATTGATTTCAGCCTGTTGACGTTTGCATAAATGGCATTGAACCATTGTGTTGCAGTTGCTGTCTCCTTGCACCTCATTAGAAATGCCAGTCGTCCATCAGGGGTGTATAACTCGAATGCACGTCCATCATTTTCTATCCCCCTCGTCAGTATCTGCTTCGTGATATAACACAATTTCAGAGTCACCTTTCGCAGCTCTGTCCAGTTTTGCCTGCCAGCTGCATTCACACCTGGTGACGTCTCTCCACTGGATTGCGAACTGGTTCTTCTAAAATATGGTGTCACTTCTTTTAAGTATTTGACCGTAAGTTCTACCTCCCTCCCGGCTCTTTTCAATGCTTGTACTGCCTCATCGTGTGTAGCATTACGGAGGTCTTCGCCATTAACAGCTAAAATTGCATCTCCAACGTAAAGGCTTTCCGTCTGATCAGCAGCAAGACCTTTAAAGATTTTTGATATAAGTATTGGCATTTTATTTTCACGGCCACCTTTTATACTGATTCCTAAACCACCGACCTCCTGCTTAATAACCCGAACCATCCTCACTTGATTTAGGACATGCTCTGGTACCTGAAAATCGCCACCTTGAGACGACGTTGAATCAAGCTTTGAGACACCGACCCTTCCATTTACTTCGAGGTTTTCTTCTACACTAATAGTTATAGTTTCCTCATCTAGACTTGCAAGTACGCGTGACCATTTGCCTTCATGGTACAGCTCAAGCACTCCACTCCTAACATTCGCCGCCATCTTTAAGACGAAGTGGTTTAAAGGTCACCACCCATCCCAAAATGCATTGAAACCCGAGATCTTCGGCATTGTTCCTATTGTTTGCCCTATTTATTTTCCTAATGTTATTTTGTTTACTTCCGGATTTCGTATAGCTTATCCAAACAATTACTGCTAGATTAAAACCAAGATGAAATTACAAGAAAGGTGAAACAGAAACTGTTTTCTCAAAGGCTCAAATTCCTAGCAAATTTTCATTGTTTTGAATTAGTAGATTAAGACACAACTAATTAGCATTAGTTAAAAACACCAGCCTAATTAGGTCACGAATATATATAACATTTCTAACGACTCAATGTTTACAAAACAAATGGTCAAAGCTTTTAACAGCTAAGCAGAATAATGTGACTATCAATGACAAAATTATCTTATCTACGCTTAATAAGAAACTGGCTATAAGAAACGAGTACTGGACAGTCAGAAAAAATTAAGAAACTACTTAATCAAGATAAAACTAAGAACAACGAAATTTTGTAAAATCCAAGAACAAGATTGCCCTGTTGGCCTAAAACTTAAGACACAAGGAATAAAAATATACTTCCCATATCTAAATACCGCATCAGAATGGAAGCGATCCTCTTGACGTGATGAAAAAGGTCATGACGTGAAGATTTCATAACATCATTCATGACATCATAACTAAGAAACTCTTAAGAAACAATGAGTATTGAACTTTCCAAAACATTAAGAGACTGGAGTACTCAGCATCGACCATTGTTTCTTATAAAAAAATGAATGTATTTTATTAAACTTCATTATTCACGGCCTAAGGGAATAATTCACGAACTAAGGGAATAATTCACGAACTAAGGGAATAATTCTTACTTTAGTAAATACTCAGAAAAATTACTAATTTTCTTATTTTTTTTATTAAATTTAGCTTAAAGGGTTTTCTTGAGGTTTCTTATGTACCACAAGCTAGAGAGCTGCTTTTTTAGAAATATAAAAAGTAGTTTCAAATAACATAAAACAGAGCACCTAATCAATCAAAAGGAGTTCTTCATTTCGTTATCTGTATCGATCGAAACCAGGACGAGAATTAGCTCACATGGTTTTATCTTTTTTCACCTAAGACGGTTGCTTACAAATGCTTGTATTCTGTTAGGTTCCGTTTAATTGCTTTGGAGGCTATGTTTCGGTTAAATTCATTATGTTAAATTTTGTTCTACTTTTAGGTTGGAAGCTTTCTTTTAAAATATAGAAATTATTGTGGATGATTTTCATGAGCTTTTTCGTGGTCGGAAAATCAATATATGGCATCGCCATTTACATGTTCTCTTGTATATAATTGGTCTCTGAAACTCTGCAGCATTCAGGGGTAGCTTTTTGAAAATAGATGTATGTTAGGTTTGGTGAATCACTTATTTAGAAATGTAAAATAACTAATTTAACTTGGAAATTAAATAATTTGAAGCCCTTATGCCGAACAAATGGTCACATATAAACTGTCAACTAAGGCCAGAAGGTGAAGTAATGGTGAAACAGCTGTGTGTAAAGGTTCGTGTTTCAATGCAAAGAATTATTTCATTGACACAAATAGAAATCCGAGGCCCCTGGGAAAAGCAAAGTTGGGGCCCCCTTCAGCTGGCAACGCAATTCAAGTTTATTAACTACTTGCACATGAAAAGCATGCTATAAATTCAAGTAGCTACCTATTTTGAATGGTACTTTAGTAATTTCATTTTGTTGATATAGTTTTTTAAAGATGACCAAATGGTATTAAATGAAACTTTTGAATTGAGTAACTTAGAACTGACAACCAACCTAACTTAGTGAGAGTTCGAGATATTTGGGGTATAAATTAACGAGATTCAGCGTATGCAATATAGAAGGTGCAAAAAAAGCTCTTAATGTCTTAAAATCTGGAATGTAGTTGAAATAAATCGAAGAGCTTATTGCCTTGGAAAAATAGCCAAAAATAGGGCTTTAATATAAGCCCCAAAACAAAAAGAAGACGGAAGACCTAAGAAAAGTGAAATTTCGGTGGCTGTCGATCTTCTTTGGTTGAAAACCGTCATTTATTTGGAGCTTTTTGTAGCTTTGATATTTATATACCTTAAGAAGGGATTCTGTGTCGAAAAAATTCAAAACGACAATTAAAAATCACCAAGCATCTGCGTCAGCTTTGTGATGCATACATTTCACTTGGGACAGGATTCCCATCAAATTAGGCACTACATATAGCCAGAGTAATAATAATAAAATAAAACATTAAAACTTTTATAGCGCAAAGCCAAATAAAAAGCTTATTTATTTTTGGCGCTTTACAATATCTAATGACCAGTGTCCCGTGTATCTAAAAGTATCTAAAATAGTTTATGGAGTATCAAAAGTAAGTAATGTGTTTTAAGGCATTCTTTAAAAAGATAAACAGTTTCCGAAGTCCTAGCTTCTGATTGGAAGAGAGTTTCAAAGTTTAGGCGCACACACTGAAAAAGCTCTGTCTCCACAAGTCTTCAGGTAAACACTAAGAGTAGAACTCTAAGCCCTATGGAAGCCAGCATCACTGCAGCAGTTGTAATGGAATTTCACATTAACAGAGAACACGAACAGTAAATAAACTTTTATATAAAACTACCAAGGAATTTATGAATACATATCATGCCAATCTCAAACATATGGAGAAAAAGAAATCGCAACTTTAGAAAATTAAATAAGTACACGACACATGGCAAATCTTAAAAAGTGTAACGACAGGTAAACATTACAAAGATAGAAATAAAAAGAAAGAAATGTCCAAAAGTATCATGACAACACAAAAGTCCAAGTAAGAAATAAACACTCAAAAGTAATTAAGCTTGGACCAGACAAACTTGTATTAAAATACTGTATTTTTTCCTTCATAGCCTCAAGATGTAGGTCTGTTTTTAGGAAACGCGTATTGTTGCCATGATTTAACATAAACAGGCACTCACTAGCAATGAATGCAACCATTGATCATCACAAAACCTGAGGTGTAAAGGAGTGTTCAGGCTCAGAAGTATCTATATATAAAAGTTCATCAATTGTAAATATACATTATTTGAAATAAGGCAAAATTGTCTGAACCACGAACCAAGAGCTAAAGACTTTAAAAATAGGTATTATGCTTTTCAGCTTTTCAATCATACAGTCAAATTAATATTTATATTGGACATATTTGTTTCCGTGTGAGTGTGCAATAAAATGTAACAAAATTAGTGGCGTCACTGTTGGTGACATTGTAAGCCCATAAAAAGGAGGTAAGTTATCACCCAAGAGTCCAAGGAAAGGGTTGTTGACAAACTAGAAACTTCCCGCAAATTCAGACAGACAGCAGGCATGCTAGTACATACATTCGAAAATTATATTGTGAATACAAGGCAGTGAGTAACTTAAATTCAAGGTAGCTGTCACATCTCCTATCAATCCTAACATGAGCTGGTCCCAGGTGGTGATAAAAGGTACACAATAACATAAAAGATTTATCAAACACGATCCTATATCTTTTCGAGAAAAACCTTTATTTTCAAAATAAAAGGATCGTGAAAGGCGACAAAATATGCAGCAAAACAAAAAGCTGAAAATATAAATATAGCAATTAAGATATTAAAAGAAGACATCTAATTAAAGAAGTTCACTTTGTTTTGTCATTTCGTTCTATATTTCTCCATTTGTCTTTCAAGTTCACCGCAGTCCGCTTTGAAGGAAAGGGATAATTTCGCAGGATAGTCGCCCAGTTTCCGAAACCATATCGCTTTACGCCGCGTCGAAGCCATTCCACCTCTTCCTCGGAGAAAGGCCGTCGTTTCTGTCTGGCTGCTATCGAGATAAAAGACGAGAAATTAATGCAAATTTTTTTCCACCTCTAAGTGTTTATCCAAGTGTCTTAATGGACAGATTGCAAAATAGCAGGGGTACATTCCTTATAATTACAAGATAATTTTGCTGAGGTTTGATGTTCTTATTATTTGGAAAATACTTAAGACTCAATTTTTCTCAATGTTTCTCATATTTCGATATGAATTTGTCTATCTTTGCTCTAAGACCACTAAATAACAGTTATGCATTAATATTGGCATTAACATTGAACAAGAGAGAAAATGTTCGATTTTTTTTCTAATTTTTCTTCTGATCTGAGACTGGCCATGTTCTAACGTTCTTATTTTTTGCATCCAGCCTATGTGCATTTTTGATTAAGTGTATTCTTAAATAAAAGATGTAGTAAGATAAGCTCTATTTCCAATTCTCCGAAAAAGCTACACGTTTCTAAACTCACTCTATTAAAGCATAAAACACTAGAGTAACTTTGTCTTGGTTGAATTTTTACTGGAAAAAGCATTGCGGAACATCCAAACCATCGCGATCGATTTGTAAAAGATAAACTTAGGGGAAGGAAATCTCTACTTCTAACTTTGTAGGTATCTTCTTGGATAGGAAATCTCTGTAAATATGAACGAGGAGGACGGGAAATAGTATCTTACTTGAGGTTACATTGGCTTCCTGCAAAATCGAATCATTTGACTCCATGCTGTCGTACTCAAACGAATCGACTTTTGTTACTTTATTTCGAGCAGAAGGAGCATTTCGCCTTTTATCTGACACACGTTCCTGTAAACTTTTATTTGTCTGAGTAACATGATCATCCGGTGTGTCACTTGTTTCAGCGGAACCTTGACTGGAACTGACAACCTCTTCTACTTCCAGCGGCTTTGATCTCCCTTTTCTTTTTATTGGGGACTTGTCTCGATGGTGTGCTGTCCTCTTTCCAGGGGCATTTGCTGATTGTCTAGGACCTTGATCACCGTCAGATTCTGTTTCCATTAGCTCATCTTCTGACTCCTCCAATTCATTTTCTGAGCTTGATGCCTGTTGATCTGGACCAGCTATTGGCTGGATGGTAAATTTTGTGTAATTACAACAGTAATGTCAATTAAAAATGTTTTTAACATTTGGGAAAGAAAGAAGCACGAAAATATAAGTGAAAATCAACTCTAAATAAGAAAAAGTCATGAAATTATCTAGCAATGGTCATCTACATAAAATCTTAAGCAAAAAATTGTAAGTAAAATGTCAAGTTAGCTTAAAACAATGTTACAGATTTTTGAATATTATTTGTAAGTGAAATAATCCAATTTTCCCAAACAAACCTACCTCGCTTGATTTATCCTTTGATTCGTCGTTAATCGAATCCAGAATATTCCTTCTTGGATTGTAAAGTTTTCTAGTAACGTTGCCTCTTGACATTTCGACTTGTGTTATTTTCCCAATCTCCTCATTTTTTATAAACCTTTAAAAATATTAATAGACAATTCTAATAAAGCTGGATCAGAACCGAAATTCGGAAACGACAATACCCGAAGAAACTTGGGCCCATCTCACATGAGAACTGAATGAAATGGTGTGTGACATTCTTAAAACAATAGATTGGCTGATATTGCCGCCCTAGACCATTTATGTTGATCTTTCGCAAAAACCAGCATGTAGATTAAATGAGTTGTCTAACTGCCAAAAACTGTTATCTTTCTATGCACAGAGAGAAGGGAATGACGGCAACAGAAACCAACAAAAGGCATAGAATACTCTTCACACAGCAGTTGGCTTCCGAGGCAATTCTTCACTCCATTTAATGTATTGTGGAATTAAGTGTGAAATTTCCCTACCAATACCAAATATTTGCTAGTGATCTAAAAACTGTCAAAAAATCATAAAAACAGCCTACTGATTTACTGTGGTCATTTTGGCTAGGGATCAAACTTTCAAAAATGCTTATGAGAAAAGCTCATTAGCTATTAGCTGGGAATCATAACATTGAGAAGAGTTAAGATTCAGTGAATAGGAAATGTAAATGCTCAGTATCCAACCTTTCTCTACAGCGTTCTCGTTCTTGGTCTTCCAATCCATCTATCTGTAGGTGCTCATCAAGACTATTGAACATTTGCCCTCGATCAAACCTGCATTGTAAACAATCATGTTTATCCTATCCTTTTCAAATAACCAAAACAGAAACATAACGCCTTTTGGCTATTATGGGTACCACAAGCCCTTCTGCACCAAGATACTCATGATACTTATAAGATAAAGAAATAACAAGAAGAATTACTTGACCGAATACATGTTAACGATACTACAAAGAGAGTTACTGGAGTAAATTATGAACAATAAATAAATGTTCCCCTGAGCAAAGTAACTCTTTTTACTCTAAGGTTCAGCATAAGTAAGAGCTACAAGCATTAATCTTGAAATTTTTCCAGGCAAAAAGAATAATTGTGGATCATATGATCTACACAAGCAGCAAATTAGACCAATGGAATTTTTCTTACTTATCAAAACGTTCTCCAGACAACTGAAAGGGCCAATTTTGAAAAATTCAACATGACAGCAACAACAAATACTTACAGAAGACTTTGCTTCATCTGATTAGAACCTTCAAATATCTTGAAGAAAAAACAACAAAATTTGTGCACTAAAAAAATTTGATATAAACTTTCCATTATACAGTATATCCGTAGTAACATAATAAACAGTTATTTCAAAAGTTATCTCATCAAAAAATTATAGATTGATGGGTTGTTTAAAAATTTTTGATTTTATTTATGTTGAGCTTATGCATTCTATTGACATCAAATCATTAATGTAATGATCAAAATATGTAGCAAAGTTTTACAATAATAAATCAGTGGAGGAACAGCGTTAACCCTATTCTTAAAACTTAGCAAACATAAATATATATATAAATTTACCCGCTCCAAAAATGTTTTTCCCATCTTTGATTCAATAATTTTCATAATGTGTTGCACATCTTTTATAAATGAGTGATAAGCATCATTATCCTCTTCTTCCATCTGATTGTAGCATATCTTTTCAAGGTGCATTAAAGCAAGAAATTAAAGCATAAATAAATTTGAGGCAATGACAAAGTTCTTTTGAGCTATACATTGAGCGTTTCTCACCTTTGGAGCCACATGTTGAAAGCTTTTAACCTTTTGCTTTTCACACTCTTTAGCATAGCGTTTTGAAAATTCTCATGGTGTTTGTACCATGCCACACAATTTTCAATTTGAAAATCTCATGGTGTAATGACAACAAAAACCGATACAAAATGACATTCTGTAGCCTAGCAATTCCTAACTCAACCTTTATCTATACTCATTCAATGTGTGCTATTACATTAAAGACATGATACAATACTTGCATACTCTTGAATGTACTCTCTTGAATGATGTTTCATTGCAGAAATGGGATGCTTGAGCAGTTTACTAGAAAGATCTATCATTGCAATAGCTAAACTTATTCATCTATTATTTTGATGGTGGACATCAAAATCAAACAGGCCTGGCCGTTTGAGGCGAGCCATAGCTCCCGCTTGCCTCTACGCTCCCCTTGCAACCTGAGGCGAGCTATGAATTGCTCTTCTAAACAGAACATGAAGGAAGAATCGCTCCCCTAAAATTTCCATTCATTTGCCCTTTTCCTATTCAAAGAACCCTGAAAACGTACAAGGGTTAATTGGTTTATTCTTGTAACAGCGATTTTTCCCGTAATTGCATTTTTTGCAATTAACTTTTTGCTTGTTGGGCGGTTTTTGCTATGATAGGCATTAACTTTGATCTATTTGGAAAAGGATAGTTCAGCGAAAGGTAAGTTTGTAGCGATTAGAACCTTTCAATCTTAAGAAAACAGGCATATTTTTGGAAGGAAAGTCAAAGAAATTGGTAGGAATTGTAGATTGGGGATATAATAAAACAGCAGGTCCCTTCTAGCAATAGTAACAAAACTATTCCTCAAAGAGAACAGGGTACTCTGCCTTGCAGATCAAAAAGGACAACCAAAACATGGAATTCCGCTATCCAGTGGCATTTACTGAAAAACCCAGATTGGGTGAAAAACTATAACGGCGACATGTTTCGCATTATTGGCAAATACTGATCATCGTTCCATCTAGCAGTTTGTGAATCTATCTACTATATAAACATGACCGACCGCTTCTGTGTAGCATAAGTGAGTTCGTTTTCACCTTAGGACTCCATTGGTAACATTCTCAACAGGCAAGCGGAACTGATTGGACAACCTCAACAGTAATGTGCTCGCGTTTTCTGATTGGCCTATTTCGATCCGAAACTGAGTATTTTAACGTAGAGTTTTCCATCTATGTTCTGACGTTTTATACTCTGAAGAGTGCTAGATGAATAACTTAACTTTGTTTCAAAATTTGTTTTTCAAAGCCATTTACAAATTCTGTAAAGCAAAAAGATTGTTTGGCAAGAGAAATGTTGTTTTTGTGTTGTGCCAGCTTGACATGAAACTGAAAGAGTCTGTTCTTTTAAATACTTTAAGTAAAGGGGGTGCCTAAGTAACGGTTAAAGCAAATACAAATTGAAAGAAGTAAAACAGCATACTTCTGACTGGGGCTATTAAAGGCAACAGACAGATACTAAAGGGTCTTAAGTCATCTGTCGATTGTCTTTAAAGTACATTCTCTGTGTTACTGATTTAGCTCGCCTCAGCAAATGAGGAGAGCGATTCACAGCTCACCTGTAAAAATACAAACGGCCAGGCCTGAAAATACTTACCTGGTTATATTTGTTTATAAGTTTATTGGAAGTAGCATCCTCAATCTTGAATGTCTTGCACAAATATGTCAAAAATTGGTCAAATGTATCAAATGCAGCATTTTTCCCCTCAAAGTCAAAGTCCTTTTGAAGAATCCTCACACAAGTCTCTGCAACCAGCAACCATGTTGTCATATTGGCATCTGCCTTTTTAGGATTCTGAAGTTTCGCGAGCTCTAGAAGACAACATTTCAGACTATTAGATATATAATTTTCAAGTTGCAATATGTTTTATATCCTCTGTGTAATACTGCTTATGTAAAATGACAAGTAAAATCTATAAACCTGACATTGGCGTGCTGGGAATGAAATCGCAGGGGAGGGGGGGGGCAAAGGGTCAAAATTGCATCCCTCATTTAGCCATCTTCAAATTTTCCTTCAAAGTTCCAGAAACGTATAGAAAAGTACAAGAGCTTGGAAGCACACTTATCTATATATAATATATATCTATCTTTGAATCTGGCAGTAAGTTCTTCTAGGAGGTTTAGTGAAGGCCGTCAACCGGTTGGCGGTAAAAAAATTCTAAGAAGACATTCTAGGGATGGTTAGAAAATGCATCCAAATATTTACAACATCGCTCTAGACCAGGGGTGGGCAACCCTTTTGGAGACTGGGCAAGATCAGTCAAACTTTTCCTTTAAGTGGGCCAAAGGTAAAAAGAAAAACGAAAATACAATAGTTGAATTAAGATGATAATCACAATGATGAAAATTTTCATTTAAAGTACAATTACAAACCTATCGTCTACATAGATAGTTTGCAACGAAAGATGAGACTTATATCATATGTGCAAAATGGAAAACTAAGGAGAACCAATCAAAATTAAAAAGGATATCATTCAGGTTTTTGAAATAAAATCCTAGGAAAGAAATTCAGAATTATCCACCAATCAATGTTTCGCATTGGCCACTCAAACACCAATTTATCCAAAAATAGGGCAAGATTCTGGCCTATTGGTCATAGGTTGCCCACCCCTGCTCTAGACTCATGGAAGATCCTGGAAAATATCAATAAGCTTTCTTGAAAATATGGCCCAAGGCTGAATTTTCCTGATTTAAAGAAATTGCCTGAAATTCTTTAGCTGCTGACAACATCCTCCAAAATACATTGTGTTGATGCAAAAAAATTAACATTAAATATCAGACCTCCCAACCCTTTAGGTCTATGTATTGGAACAAACTCATGATATAACTATACTGTCCGAGGCAGCATGGGTTGAAGCCGAGGGAAAAGAAACCTTTGAATTTTGATGCTACCTTCCAGTTTTCAGGAAAATGCACTTTTTAAGCAATTTTCAGTGATGCAAGCTTTCTGATAAATTAATATCCACAGGCTGAAAGCTATTTGATTGTTTTAATTGATTTTCTGGTGTCGTTGTTAAACATTTTAGCTTATGCAACATAATTTTTTTAATATTGGGACATAATCATAATTTCTTCTTTGCATTTCTCAAAATTTCAGTAAACCAAAACTCCTTGCAGCCTGCCGATAATTCTATGAAGTGGGGCCTAATCTGTATTTTACCCCCAAGCCCAACATTATGGGTGGGTTCCTCAAAGCATCCCCCATCCCTCTACCATGCCCCCTGGTATATCTAATGCTGCAAAAATTGTTTAGATTTAGTGTGGGGTCTTGAGATGGTGTCTGATGATCATTGTTAAGCACATTAAAGTTAGTAAGAAAGAAGAGGTGGTATGTTGCAAGGCTATTCTTGTTCTCCTCGAAGCTACTTAACATGGATTACCCCTTGCCCCCCCCCCCTGCCAGCACACCAGTGAAACCTGACATGTCAATAAAATGGTACCGTAGCGAAATTGCTAACTTACTAGGTTTATTTAGACATGTTTGTGAATTTTTGTACCATCAAAAAAACAATATAAGGTACAGAAAATATGGAAATATGATAATCTAAATTTTGCACTTTTACTTATTGCTTAGCAAGATAAAAAAATAGGTAAAAAATAGACGTAACAAACAGTGCATGCGCAAACGCGTAGAATCCTTTGCACGTAAAATTTTCCGTTCTAGGAAGGGGTGGCCTAAGCCTAATGACCCAAGAAATCAAAGTTTCGATCTGATCGAAATGAATGATCCAAGAATAATATAGCTTATGCATGGAAATCGCAAGTACTTTTCTTCTTTATGTTCAAATGGTAAAATATTGTCAGTGTTGAACAAACGTTGAACTGATAAAGGTAAGAATTACCACTCGAAACATGTAAATAACACGACATTTCCTCAGCAGAATCCTCATCGTTATCTCCTCTGATGAAGCCTCGCAGAATTTGTTTACAGCAATATTCCAGACACCAGTATCCTATCGTTTTCCTTGAATTTTCTGTATCCATTCTGCTTAGAACAAAAATGCGAAAGACGACAAAGTGGTATTTCGTTGGCGGGATTTCGCCCTGATTTTAAATTCTTGTTTTCTGTTGAAATATATCACGTGCCTTTCGGTGTCGATGTTGTTGGTGTTGTTTTCATTTATCCAACCCAGCCACATTGATCCAACCATGTTCCAGCCATATAATAATAAAAACAAAACTTGGAGAATAAAACTCAAACGAAACTTATTTTGATTATGGAAAGGTTACTATTTTCAGCATTTAAAGATTAAGATAGCCAAAAACCTTACTTGGAGATTTGATTTCCAGACCAAAAATTTTTCAATCAAAACGTACTCGATAATTAATTTTCTGCAGATCTTTAAAGTCAGATAATAATTAATGTGGATTGCCTGTTTGAAACGTAAAAAATCGGCCAGAATTTCAATTCATTTCTGAAACACACGCCCTAAAATCTTGAGAAAATTCATTAAGAGGTGCTGGCTTGGACGCTGGAACGACCAAGGGGCATGGAGGGCAGACTTGAGTAAAAAGGACATTTTAAAGATAACTCCCAGCTTCTACTAACTCCTTCTACTTAGTGCCATTTTATTTCGATCTTCTGTAGATATCTTGAAAACTGGCTAACTTTTAGAAAAAGGATTCATTTTACAAGTTTTGAGAAATGCCGTCATGATTAGCGTTGACTTGAATTTCAAAACGAGCAGAAAACGACAAAATAAAAACAAACTGTTTTTTCAAGACAATGAAGCGTTATCACGACAAATTTTTAATTTCATAACAATCAACAAATTTTGTTATCCAGGTTTAACAATGCAGCACTCAATAAGGAATTTTACTTGCTCGCAATGAATAACATCACAGACATTTGACAAGGATCAATATATGATTAAAATAGAAAACCAACCAAACTCAAGATGCTTTCGAGTTCTAGGGATACTTTGCAGGTAAATGAATGTTCTTAGAAATGTCCCCAGCTGTTAAACGCTGAAATATTACCTTAAATGGAGATTTGTTCAGCATCTTTTAAAAGTTAATAAGAAGGGACTAAGGAAAATTATTGCTAATGATTAGAATATTCGAAGTTGATAAAATTTAAGTCTAGAACAAGATATGAGAGAAACTATTATAGCATGCCTATCGTCTCTAGTCAATATCTATTTGCTTTACGAATTCATTAAAATCCACGAGTCCTAACCAAATAAGTGAAAAGATAGAAGAGTTACAAACAGTATGATTGAAGTCAACATACATACTGTAAGATCTTAATGGCGATATACCTAGGAGAAGTAACGGAGAGCTTTCAGGCATGCAAGAAAATACGTTCCTTGATTACGATATCCCTGTTGCATAACAGTATGATCATCGATTTCTGATAGCCCTCCCATTTGCAGCCCAAACTATAACGCTGAATCGTGGAAAAGGAAGAGGAAAACTACTATTTGATGGAACAGCGGACAATCTCCATTGTGTAGCTTTGTCCTCAGCTTTTCATTCGAAAGTCTGTTGGATTTGAAATTTTGACAACAAAGAAACAAAGAGATAGCTGTTAACTAGCTAATCTCGACCGTATTTAACAAGGGACTGTTTATGAATTGAGAGTTTCGCTTCTTCCTTTTCACTTTTATACAAAAATACTCAAAAATCCCAACGCAAACCCATACCTTGTAAAAAAATAAATTAGGAAATCACATAAAATGCTTAAAATTTATAAGAATTGTAAGAAAAGCGTCAACATAATAAATAAATAAATCGAAAAAATTGACATCCATAAACGAATTAGCCAAAGCTGAGTAAGTGACAATGCTCAATCTTATAAACAAGCAGGAAATATTAGGAAAAGGTACTATTACCAAAAATCATTGAAATAATTTCAAGTGTCAGTTGGAGAGCAATTCGACGTTATCTACTACGCACAAAACTCGAATAGAATCTTCGTGAATTGTAGTGCTATTTTGTAAGAAAATATTAAAACTAAAAAATGCTCCGATGAACAAAGGAACGAAAATAATAATCTACCAAATTGTAAAGCAGTTTATTGGAAAGGTTTTTTGCATTGGATGCTTAATTGTGTTAAAAAATTACTTGTCCATAAATTGGCGATTAACAATTGTAGCTACATAGTTAAAAACAATAAAATGACCTTGGCTTTTAACACCATTGTTGTTTTGCTGACATATGCTGTGAAAATACAGCCAGTTTCCATTTTCAAGTGTAGATGAAGGCTACTTCGAGCAGTGTCTTTTACTCCAATGCATTAAATTTATGCATAGCCTTTTGATTTATGCATTCTGAGTGATCAGGACTTATCATTTCCCGTCATGACTTCTGCTTCAATGCAACCGAATTCTTTTTCATCTTGATCTGTTACCCTAGACCTAATTACATAATGGCCCTAAAACAAAATGACGTGACAAGTTCATTAACAGGAAAGTATACGTCAAAAACAACAACACTAACAGTCAAAGAATGCATTGTGGAAATGGAAATTTATCTTGATAGAATTAATCACAAATTGAGTGATATACAATCCCTACCAAAAGTCTAGGAACACTGACGTCAGTATCCAAGGTCAAAATCAATCATCCCCCTCTCCCCTAGAGAACAATGTTGGTTTACTATGAAACGGGTTGGGATTTTAGGAAGCACTTTCTTTTGCGCTTCTTTTATGATATTTCTCCAAATTATTAACATTTTTCTAGGGGGAAGGGGGCGAAAGTAGTAATTTTTTTAAGAAAAAGAAAGAAAGATATAAAATGCAACGCGAATTGCTGATAGGTTTCTCTCACCTTTGGAATGTAACTTGGCAGTTTGATATAATTTCGTAACCTCAACTTGTAACCTAAGAAAGTATGACAACTAGTTATAACAAAAGCTACGTCACTTGCTTGAATATGGAGTGAAGGCATAAGGCGACAGACTCTTCTCTGTCAGGTTACTTCGTAGGACATGCAGAGATAGATTTACCTTTGCTTATTGGGCAGTAAAGCGGCGTGTCTAAATCTAGAGCTTCTTCACACAGGTCATGCTCATTATCATACATCTCCAGTCCTTTGTATTTGACAAGCATATGAGCCTTTCCAGAGGTGACCCGTTTATCTGTGGAAGGTAACAAAAGCAATAGAGCAAAAAAACAACATCGGGGGAATCACTTCATCATAACAATGTAGAATAGAAAACATAGTATCCACATTTGCACTTTTGTAGTTATTGACTTGTAATCGAATGAAATACGCCCCAAATATTAAAAAACTGAACGCCTTTTTTCATATTTCTCCATTACCACTTTTTTTAGTATAAAGGCATTTGTTTTGGGCTTCAATGAGTCGATCATGCAATATTTTCCTGGAAATATAGGTGCGAACATTTTTGTCTTCGCTAAGCTTACTGGTCTGCAGGACAAGGGGGGATAGACAATGAGCAAGGACATCGCTTGTTCTCACTTCTCAGTTGTCTTTATTGAAATTCCAGCATACTCTTACAAATGTTTATAGCAATTTCATGACAGTTAATTTTCTATTTCATCATTGTTTCCTGCCAGCACAAAAATCTAAGAAAAACACCCTAATACACCAATTCGACTTACGACTTCGATTTGAAAATTTATCCAAATTTGATTATACGACTTTTTTAAGCTAAGATTTGGTTTTATCGTCACAATTTTAGGCGGGATACCATTTTTCATATTGTTTGAGCTTGTATTTTGGTTTTTACGGAGAAATGAAGTTTGAAAACCTGTAAGGGATTTGACCGCAAAAATCGTTTCGGGGGGAACTTTACCCCCCTAGTTGCCAATCACGGTCAAATCCCTAATAAAATTTTCATTTTTATGTCGTCATTAAATCAATATTGTGAGCAATATCATAATGAAAACTTACAAGTAGACTAAAATCATTGCTGTCAATCCGAATCTGAGGTCAACAATTTTGTACAAAAGAATTCGAAGAATTTTTCAAAATGAGACCGTAGGTCGAATTGGTGTATACTTAATAGACATTAGAATTAAGCACTCGGCGAATTTTAGATTCAAGTGTATGCAAATTTCAGTATTAACTACAGGTTTGATTGAGCTCTTTAGCCTTTTATATTGTTATCAAATACAAAACACCCACCCAACCCCCTTTGTAATGACCTTCCTGAGGTTGAATAATGACGCAAGAAATAATTTTTTTCCTGCCAAATTTGAGAATAAAACGTTTTCCATCCAGTTCTGTTATTTTCCCCGCTAGAATTTTTGTTTCCCCGTCGATAAATTCCACCAAGGTTTTAAATTTTGAATTTCCAGTTTGCTCTCCTCTGTCGTGACATTTTTCATCTTCGTTGAAAATTTATGAGAATTTTCTCTGCTGTACTTTTAATGCCCGGCAGGGTCGTTACTCAGGGCTGTGAAATGTATACGTATGTTTAGAAATATTGCATGCATTTCGAAAGCTAACTAAATTTTCGTTGAAATTGTAATCAATTGTGTCTTTCAAGTCGAAAAATTTCTAAGTAACGTCCTAAAAGCTGTGGGGCTAACGCAGTTAAGGGCACCTAAATTCGACAGCTAAAGGCCCCCGATCAAAAGGGGTCCTCAAGAATTTTTAATATCCACGACCGCAAGTCCTTAAAATGAGATGGTCAATTTGTTTCTCAAATACTCTAAAGTGTTTTAACTGACGAATATAACTTTGCTTCCCCAATTTAACGAGAAAAATTGTCATTCTTATATCTTACTACTCTGTTAAACATCCTATACACCATTGGATGGGACCTTCTTACAGTCTGTTGATGGGGGGCCCTGTCTCTGTCTTTTTCTAAGGACCCTAGATGCCTTTGTTACGTCACTGCGTGTATAGGATTTGCAAGATAAATAATTGAGCGAAGGGAAAAGGTTCGATTGAGCTCAAGAACTGGAATAACTACTTACCAAAAGTCATGTTGAGCAGCATCAAGATTTTCACGAGTTTTGCATCTTCTTTATCTTGCTCCAAGACAACCTTTCCTATTGTCTTTCTTGTTCTGTTGTCTAAGCAAAGAAGGCATGTCATTGAAACTTTCTGGGGACAGCATTGATAAAATCGATTGAGTGTTCTACTACACTACATTAAAGGAGGGACAAGTATTAAAGAAAATTTCAAAGTCACAGCATATAAATTTACAAAATGAACAAAACAAAGGCCAGTTCTGTGAAATAAGAAATAGATACTTGAGATAGGAAATAAGAAATATATATTGCAAGAATCCCGCAATTTACACAAGTCCCTAAAGAAGTCTCTGCTTGCCGGTGACTATGGTTGCCCTGTTGTAGCATAGTTTAAACCTTAAAGGAAAAAAAACCCGGGGCAAAAGTACTGTTTTCAAACACTGAATAACATATTCAATTCTAACAATGTTTCCAAAAATCTTTGCCGTCCTTCATGAAGAAAATCGTTCCATTTTTAATAAATATTCTCTTTCCCCCTTCTTTTCACGTTTTTTGTGCAATTTCTCTCCAAAGTTCTTAATTTCTTTGAATTTCTGACCAGGGGCTGATCTAAGCAACAATGATTGGGGGGGGGGTGGTGTTAGACACTAATTTTGGTGCCACACCCTTCAGATCACTGGTAAATTATGGAAACGCCCCTTTTTAAAATTCCGTTTTTAACTTTAAGGTAAAGACGATAAGAAACAGTGGCGTAGCCAGGTTTGGAAGATTGGAGGGGCAAAGAGGAGAACATTTTTGCTGACCACACCCTTAAGAATTTAGGAAAACACCCCATTTTGCAAAAGCGTCATATCTGGCTTTTTGTGGCTGACCCCATTCTACAACTGCCTATTTCCTTGACAATTTATCTAACGCTTACATTCTGAATTGTGTAAGGCGAGAAAAGCATTACGTGTTAAAACTGATTCTCCACAGTTTTAATCAAATATCTAAAAATAACAAACAGGATTAAAGTGTTTTAAACTAATTCCGTTCTCCTTGGAGCAAAATCCCCGACAAGCATTTCAGAATCCAATTTTCTTAAGGATTGAAGCGCTATAGCATTTTAGTTTCTATTTTATCGGGATTGTCTAAAGAACGTAAAAGACTTTTTCTATTTAAATCCTATAACGTGGGATAAATTGTTGAACATTTTGTAGAGTTATAAAGGAGGGTACCTGTGCGAGCGAGGCGAGCAGAAAATTTTTGCGACGACGCGCTTCAGATTAGCTTGAAATACATTTCAGAATATTTCTTACAGTCGTTTGCAGTCTTTAAAAACGTTTTAATATTGTCTGAAATATAAAGTCTCCCTTTATGGTACTAATTCTACAGCAGATTTGTCCTTTTCTCAGACACCGACTTTCTGAGCAGCCACGTAGCTGCAGGGGGGCACGGGGGGCACGGGGGGCACGGGGGGCTGTGCCCCCCAAATGAAAATTTCGACAACAGCTTGCCCCCTCTGGCTACAGTTTTTCCAAATGATATTTTGAAAATTTGGCATATTTATAATTCCATGACCTTGATTTTGTCCAAATATATCTGTTTGTTATATATCTGTTTTCTTGTTTTAAAGCCTGCCCCCCTGAGGTATGGTTCTTGCTCGAGTTTGTCCCCCCTAGCCGACACCTACAGCTACGTAGTTGTTTCTGAGCGGCTGCTCCCCTTGCCTCCCCGCGCTACGCTACTGATAAGAAGATAAATACTAATATCAAGGAGAGAAATAAAGTAAAATATTGGCGTTAATTTGCTGACTACCAAAAAATGGATTTTACCGAATGGAACCAAATTTACCGAAGGAGACAGAAATATTTGGGGGGTGTCGCACCCCCTACACCCCTCCCCGCTGACGACTTTTTTCCCAAAGAAGGGTGCAGTGAATCCTAATGGGGCTACTGGTTATACCAAATCTGAGAGAATTCTTGGTACTGGCCAGATGCTCTTCAGAGGTTACCCTCAGGGAAAGCAAAGTGCCGGTTATTCCGGATTCAAAACAATAATAACTTGAAGGAGTTTTTTTGGACCTTTCATGGGCTCTGATGCAGGTTGGAAAGTGGGTGGGCCAAGGGAAAATTTCTCAATCACAACAAAAGGTTTTGAGAAAAGCTCTATTGTTTTGCATACAAGTGGGGGGCATTGCCCCTCCCAACCGCTCCTTTCCGTCGGAAGCCCTGCATTTCGATTTCTCTTTAGACCTTTCCAATAACCTCAAGCAAGTGGCAAAAAGGATTAACGATTAGGTGTTGGTGTTAGGGACTTGTGGCTTGTGGTTGTTGATTGGCAGTTGGTTGTTGAATGTTAAGGGACATCTGCCCCAAACATTCATGGCATCTTCAAAATTTTGCTCCAAAATCGGGGCTCTTTGGAAAAAGACACAGAAAAGAGAAGGGGAAAAGGCCGCTCTATCCAATGGGCTTGAAATACATACCACATCTGTTAAAGATTTCCCCAACAGACTGTAAATGTGGGTTCTCTAGCATCCATTTGTCCCAAGGATTAGCTGTCATAAAAACTTGATGTTCACCCATTCTTTGGTTGTGATGTCTTTCCCCTTCATGAACATTATCCAAAATATCTGAGAAGATATCATCATTTGTCTTGAGTCGTTTTTCCGTCAGCTTCCCAGGGGCATTCTTGATTGTCCTAGTGACTGGTCTCAGAAAGTCTGATCGTTCGAAATACTTTGCCCTAACTGTGAAATATACAACAAGAAATACTGCAAATCCAAGTGCATAGTAAATTTTCCTTTTCGTAACCACAAAGTTGGCTTTGGATACCTGTGTAACATTCATTTTCATGCCAGTTTCTCTATTCAAAAAATTGTCTTCCAATGCAATGTTATCCGCCGTGTAATTGCTGTTTAGTCTTCTTCTCGGAAACTTGTTATAGACAATCGAAGAAAATTTTTGTTAACTGTCACCTGACACACACAGCTGAAGTGCCAATATCAATACCAGTACATAATACTCATGCTTTGTATGCAAATCGCTTGTATTGTTAAAGAAGTAACATAAACACGCTGTCGTGTTTCACGTGATTGCAGAAGGTCATAGTGCAGCCACCAAAGGTGATTCCCCCAGTCCAGTTTCTATCCTTTTTGCGAGACACAAATTCAATTTTTAAATTCAAATCCATATCGTTCAGCGATTATAATAACAATTATTAAACGTCTATTAATCAAGGATTTGTTGATAAAAGGTATAATGTTAAATATTTCAAAATAAAGTAAATATAGAGAAAGATAGATACCAAGGACCCGAACATTTTCTTACGAAAAAATAATTCCAAGCGGATATGACATATGAAAAATGTCAACGCTATCAATAGTGCCAAGCATTTCTCAAATGATGTGATCTAACATGTCAGATTGTGTGAAGAAATCTGAGACCTCCGCTTTTGAACAGAGGTCGTTATTACACTTTGCTTCTATGACGTAAATTAAAAATCACATATAAAACAACAGTCTTTTATATTGAAGTATCTCCTTGGGCAACACTCTTCAACAATTCTTTACATATTGTTTGTTACCAGTGGTGTAGTGCTTTCAAAATATGTTGCAAGAAAAATTCAAGCACACGGCCGATATATTTATCCAATAAATACACTCTTTTTATAAGAACCAGTAAATTTAAGTTCAGACTGACCGTTCTAAAATTTTTCGAAAATCTGAGGCCTGATTGTTCTTAATTTGTTCTTAAATAAATAGGGTGTTAGCAGTGTGATTGCTAGCTTTTTCGCTCTAGGGAGGTTTTTAGGCCTCATTTGCCAACAAAGTGAGTGAGGCAGCCTTCATTTACCGACAAGTTTGAATTTTCACCGAAAAAGCACCCACAAATGGCAAAAATCCTTGTTTTTCTTCAAAATTGCATTTTACAGTAGCTCAGCCTCAGCTTGTTCCTAATTTTTGACAAATTTTTTACAAACAGAGTGTTTAGTTTGGACAATATAAATTTGAATGAATTTTAACAAGAATTTTGGCTACTAATAATGACCAATGCAATAAGAAATTCTTGCATTCCGAATATATATCGAAGCATTCTTCAATTCAATTGTATTTCTTTCAATTTCCAAATTTAGCACAAAATGACAAGCCTGTGACACATTGTGACTGTGACAAATGAATCAAAACAATAGAAACGTTGACAATTGTGTTTGTTTACTGTTTGCCCACACCAAGGGAGGGAGGTCCCTAAATTTTGGGAAGGGGTCTGCTGCAAGCACATTCAATGTGGCGAGAGGCAATTCATTCTTGCAAATAGCGTACGAGATTTTCCCTGAAACAAAAGGACTTCTGGGGATTTCCAATTAAGACAATAGGATTTCCACCAAAGGTGTACGAGATTTTTTGGAGTGATTTGCCCCTCGCAATGTGGTACCGTTGGCTTTGGCTAGACCATAGTGGCTAGACATGTTTTTACGAAGATGTTATCTATGGCTAGACCAATTTGAAATTGACAATTTCTACAAAAAAGGAATGTTGTTTTCCTGACCTTCAAAACTGCCGTGTACTTTCAGGATTTAAAGAGGCACGTCTGATGTCCTTCTTCCATATTTTGATTGAAACTTCTCTCAACAAAGTGCAATACAAAATAAAATACTTTATTTCTTGCACTACATCAATAAATGTTTTTTCCTGATTAAACTAGGAACAGATACAGTCCGCAGCTCGTACTACAGCTACTTTTAGGTATTATTTTTCCTGAGTTTAATCCAATGAGGTGAAACACATTTTCAAATCATATCATGGCTATGATACTGATTATGATGATGATTTGAAGCGCTTCTACATCATTGTGACACAGAATGTGATTGTGAGCTTGGACGAAGTTCAAAAAGAGGCTACTTTCAAGATTGCTGAAAGGATGTTGACGAATATATTTTAGAAACTTCCTGCTGGCTGGAGGTTCATTTGTTGGTTGCAATGGCTGCTTTCGAATTAAATGTTAACTTGATAACTGCCTTAGCAGAGGCTAAGGACCCACGCCTTAGCTATTTATGGACGGCTGTCTCCATTGCACAACAAGCAGGAGCTGTGAGTACCTCCTACCTTAGTCTCCTCAAGTTCTTAAAGAACTCGAAACATGTATTGATATGGTATGGTGGGTGACATGACACCGGGGATGGGGAAAGGTTGCTTGAACAACGTCATAGCAGTAGACAAATATTTAACGATTTTATTCAGTTTAACAGTTTCTGGGACTTTGTTCGGGGTAAATTTTAGAAAGTTGCTGACCATCTTCCTTGTCTTATTTTTTGGTAAACATTTTGACTTTGATTATAAATTATAATTGAAATTTAAGATTATAAATGAAATTTATAAAATAATTACTGCATAGTCTATTGAACTCATTAATTTTCGTCTAGGTTTTTAAAAATATAGAACTAAAAAGAGTTAAATCTTACTTGCAAAGTTACCCTTTTACAAGAAGCTTAGGCAAAATATGATATGTGTATGTCTTGTTTTCCTTAGCTGTTAGCGGTTTTTTGCCATATTACAGTCTACCTTGGGGCGTTATGGCTGGGGGCAGGGGGTATGTGCCCTCCTATCATTAATCATCCTGCCATTTGTTGAAAATTTTGTATCTGTTCAGCAAAATAATATTTGCAGTTTATAGAAATGCAAGAAAGTTCAAAGGAACTAATCAGTATAAAAAGAAAAATATAAGCACCAGGCTGGAAAACTTGCATATGCTTGCAGCGGTGCTAGACTTCTTATGCTTGCACCTCACACCTCTAGTGTCTAGTGACCCAAAATATCAAGAAACCCATATATTATACTATAGTAATGTATATATGGGCATCATTGCTTGCAGCTCAAATGCTTCCGCTCGCAGGTCGCAGCTGATAATGTGCTGTTGGTTGCATTGACGCATTCACAAAATCATACCATGTTTTCCAACCTGGTATAATCAGAAACATTTTTCTGAAGACAGTAAAACTCTTGGTTATTTCTGCCTATTCAAATCTGTACATTTATGCAGGAAATGGCAAGCTTGTCAACTGGTATTACTAAATGCAAGGACACCTTTTTAAAGCTCAAGTGTGAACTGTGATCAACAATGGGCCAAGAGAGGTTAAATAAATTTTGAGCTTGACTTATTCCACACTCAGTTATGATGAAGTAATCTGGAAGTTTGCTGACACACAGTTGCTAAGGAGACTTTTCATACACTAAAAATCACCCAGTTTGCTTCTTCAGATTCTTAAGATATTTGTTATCAGTCCCGTTGCAAATTTTATTTTTCATCACAGATACTGATAACTGATGATTATGATTATCCAATGTTCAAATTCAGATGCCGGTTTTTCTCTGATTGCCGTATTGAAATTAGTAAAGGTGATGCTGCAAAAGATACATATTGTTTGCCATGTCTTTCTGTTTTTAAAAAACTGGGCATGTGCTTGATGACATCATAATTTCAATTCAAACTTGTTGTCTGAAGAATTGCAAGCTGTCTCTCTCCTCCCCCCTTAGAGTCACTACCCATGATGCCCCTGAAAGAAGTTTGCTATTCTCACAGTTAATTTTTCACATTCACTTTTCTAATTGGGTTATTTTGTAACATTTAAATGGTAATTTATGAATTATGCAGCTGAATTTTCAGCCAAATCATATTTTAACAAGCATCTGAGCATTTTGCTATTTGGTTGCTCCCAATATTTTGCAAGGGGGTGGTTGCTCCCAATATTTTGGAAGTCTTTTGTTCTAAAACAATTTGAAAATGTGATGTCATCTTATCAAAACGATAGGCTGAACTTCTAATATTTGACCTAGGATGAAGTTTGCCTAAGATGTTAGCTCTTCATTTGTAGTCAGTCTCTCTTGGCTTCCCAAATAACATCAGCACTTAATGAAATTCTACATTAGTTGTTTTCTTCCTTCCTTCATTAAATACAACATAAAAGCATTTGATGGCTTTTTTGGTTATCAGTTTCTTATGGGGGATACACATACTCTTGAAGCCTCTCAAACTTGCCATTGAAAAACAAGAGGGGTTATTTAAGTTGTCAACCAATAAGATTGGGAATATTTCTTCTTGTTAGGAATATCATAATTTTTTAGATGATAAAGGATGCATTTGAAAAGAGCAAGGAAATTAAGACCAAGGCCTGCTCTACAGATTTGGTGACAGAAACAGACCAGAAAGTAGAAGATTTTATCAAGAAGTCAATCAATGAACAATATCCTGACCATTGGTAAGTATATTTTAAACTTTTGATTGAAGTCCTTCTATGAGATTGTTTGACATATTTCGAGCTCAATATGTTTACCATTAGCAAGTGTTGGATTTGGGCAACTATCCAGATACATTCAATGCTAACTGTTTCCAGATTACACTTCCTGCAACAGTTCATTGTTTTTGAAAAATATTCAATAACCCTTTTCCTTTTCTTTGCATATGTTCAAGACTGATATGACACCAGGGTCATACCGGTCCAGGGAGGGTCATATTGGTCTGGGCAAGAAGAGACTTTATAATGGTTACAAGTGCACCAAAGGTGCTCTTTTAGTTTCTGGTAGGCTTACAGTTGCTGGTTTTAATTTTTCAAATCCAAATTCCACAAAACTAAATGTGTAAAAGCTTGTTTGACATTTAAAATATGTTTTGGATTAAGCCAAAAATTCTGGCTTATTTAGATTTATCTGGATAATTCTCCAAATTGGCCGAATACTTGAATTTTTTAAGCAGCTGTTTCGTTTATTTCTCTGCACCTTTTTGTCGATCATTTCCTTTGAGACCTTTGGGTTTCCTTTGTAAAGTAAAACAAAGAAGGTGAGGTGTCAAAAAAATTCAATCGGATGGTGTTCTTTGTTGCAATTTGAATCGCTTTTGATAGTGCCATAAGATCAATTGAACAGTTATGCATATTGTCTGGATTTAGAAGGCCAAAGACATTAGATTTAAAAGGCCTTACAGTTTTTGATAACAAAAATGAATTTTTAATAAAATTGTAAGCCTTTGCACTCTATCTTTGCGCATTGTTGGGTTTCTCGTTTTATTTTTTAAATCTACTTGCTGAAAGTATGTATGTGTTTTTCGCCTGTGAAGCAGTTCTGCTGCCGTGGTCTCTTCATTTCATTGGAATTTGTTCAGCTTCTATCATGGTCTGTGCGCTCTGCAAAAATACATTGAAGTTGTATCCATCAACAATAGGCATGAACAACGCCAAATGGCAAGGAGCAATTCAACGTAAAATAATGTGATATGATAAGCTAAAAGTTTCAAGAGATTATGTCTAATTCACCTGGAGAGGCCGGCAAGGTTTTTGCTTGCCATTGCAACCAAGGCTGGCAACCTCAGGGGTCTTATTGGTCCAGTTGGGGGTCATTTCGGTCTAGGGGTCATATTGGTCTGGAGGGTAATATTGGTCTGGAACTTATATGTTCAATATCACTGCAAATAGTACTCTATAAAGATGTCTTTCGCTGATGCCTGCAGTAAAAATCTGTTTACAATCTTGACCTCTGTACATTGAAGCCTACTTTCTTGGCTAAAGGGCAAATACTCATTTTGAGAAAAAAGACCACAATTTTTTTATCACTCTAGCTGTATATTTCATTTGATCAGATTGCATTTTGATTTCTGCTTTGATGCTAATAATGACTTAATCATGTTATTTATTTGATAATTCACAAGTGGCAGAATATGATAGAAAGTAAAAATCATTATCACATTTTAGTGCCAGTGAAGCCATGAGTGTAAAATTACAGACAAACTTTGTAGTGTTGACTTTTTATGAGTATTTCTTAGGTTGGTTGAGAATGAAATGGCTTGGCGAATGAAAAAACTAATGAAATAATGAAATTTATGTTTGTTAATAGCTTTATTGGGGAAGAAACAGTCTCTGGAGGAGAAAAATGTGTTTTAACAGACAGACCAACGTGGATAGTTGACCCTGTTGATGGCACTACAAATTTTGTCCATAGGTATATTTTGATTTTTTCTCATTTGTTTATTTAGTTTTTATTCAGCACACATTTGCCATTAAAATGTTATTCTGTTTTTGCTATTACTTGTTTTTTGAGTTAATATCTTTTTTGATCCCATGCCTTAAACAGTTGGTGTCCCATGCTTGATACATTTTGAAAATATGAGTTATGACTGCTTTGCTCTCCATCTTGACTAGCAAAATTTGTCATAAAGTTTATTTGAGTATCACAATTTAATGTTTTTCTAATGTTCCATGCTAGTTCCATGACATAAAATTTTTGTAAATGTTCCAAATAGTTTCTTGCTCAATGGTTTGCTACTCCCAACTCTGTTCTTTTGTCCACCAGAACTGCCCATTTTTTGGCTCTTCTCTAGATGTGCTGTCACTTGTCTTGTGTTCTGTCACTGAGTTTTTACCCTGAGATTAATAAAGATGGAATGTTTCTTCCTTATTATTGCTGTTCTCTTTCTTTTCAGGTTTCCTTTTGTTGCAGTCTCCATAGCCATAGCAATAAACAAAGAGGTAAGTTCATCTCTGTGCTCTCTGCAAAATTTTGTTATCAATGTCATATATTTTTGAAAATGTTTCATGCTTAAATCTGCCTTAATTTGCACTTTTCAAAAGTACTTTGACAAAGCACACACTCAACCATGACATTAGCACATAGAGCTTGGCCTTGTTATCATTCGTTTGTCTGTTTCGAGCATTTGGTAACAAAACCAGGTGTTTCCTCATCAAACCAACCATTACTTCATCAATAAGGTTGTAAGTTTCAGAGAGAAAAAGCAGTTTTTGTCAAATTTTATTAATTTTCTTTAGGAAAATAACAGATAACTTTTTATAATAGAATTAGAGCCAAAAACTGACCATAATTTTTTATTTTAGATAGAAATAGCTGTTATTTATGGATGTATTTTAGAAAAGTTGTATATAGCTGTTAAAGGACAAGGATCATACTGTGGTCAAGAAAAAATATCAGTTTCACAAAGAACAGGTACAGATTTCAGTTTTTTCGTGTCATGATATTATTTAAGGTTAGAATATTTATGGGACAAACTTAGGGGAGGGGAGGGGGTGGTATAGGTGGATTGCCATAGTGGCTTTGCCTCCCTTGAAATTTGTAGAGGGGCTAAGCCACCCTTGACAGCTTTTCAAGACAGAAAATTTGTTTAGAGAGTAGCATACTAGCACGCAGTATATTTTATCCATATTTAAGAAATTCGAAATAAGAAATGATCTTTTTGTAGTCAAGATCAGCTATGGATCTAACCATAATTTTGACCGGTTTTAGGCTGTTAATAGTACATAAATTTTGCTAAAAGTTGCACTGGTGATGAAAATTTATGATGTAAGCAAATTGTGACTATTTTGCCCTCCCTTTCTCTAAAATGTCAAAATTTTACTCCATTCAGCATGACCTTTTATCCTCTTCTTGCAACTTTTGATTCTAATTTTCATGAATTTTTCCGAGAAAGAAGGTCTAATCCCTCAGTACAAGACCTCAGATTCTCATTTGCATTCATATTCCATTTTGTATCATTTTGTATCAAAGCGAGCTATGTATGTGGATATCAAGGATGATTTTTAGTTGCCAGTTTTTTTAGGATAAAAGATGAATTAGGAAGTTGGAAACTCTGTCAGAAATTTTGCAACAAGGGAGAGCTATCCTTACGAAATTAACACTTGTTTAGGGGTTCAATTCAGTATGTAAACAGGAGAACTGTTGTCAGTCAGTCAGGGGGAAATGCAGCAATAGTCGCAATTGAAGTTTTAGATAACGATTTTGAGCGATTTTCTGAAACCTGTGCGACCGGTCTAGATCTGCGGCTGCAAGATTCTCTGTCATAGAAACGTTGTCTGATATGGTAATAAATGCACTCTTTTTTATGAGAACCAGTAAATTTAAGTTCACGCTGACTGTTCTTAATTTTTTTCGAAAATCTGATAGGGTGTAAGCAGTGCGAGTGCTAGCTTTTTCGCTCTAGGGTGGTGTTCAGGCCTCATTTGCCAACAAATTGAGTGAGACAGCCATAATTTGCTGACAAATTTGAATATTCACCGAAAAAGCACCCACACATCGCTAAAAATCCTCGATTTTGAGAAAAAACATTGTTCAAAATTGCATTTTGTAGAAGCTCAGTCTCAGCTTGCTCTCAACTTTTGACCAATTTTGAGACTTGTGTTCTTATAAAATTGTTCTTATAAAAAAGAGTGTAAAAATTGAATACATCATTAAAACTTTGCAAGTGAAATCATCCTCTGTGTTATAACCAGAATTTCCTTTTCCAATTAAATCATCATTATACAGCGCCCTCATTGATAACAGCACTTAGTGTACTTAAGATGTTACCATTTGTAGACATAGTTATTATCAGCGAATTTTGAGTCAAGCTCAAATTTTATTAGGTGGCCCTTATGCAGTCATCTTTTCGCAAAATAAGCCCATCATTTGAAGTCTATTCATCATTGTCAAATTTTTCATTATCTTTAACATTTTATACTATACTCTTTGGATTGTCAAAAGAAAAAGCGCTTTGTATATTTTATTACGTTATCGCATGGAAATTCTAAGAATGATAGCTTGATTGAATCTCTGTTTCACAATCTACTCAAATAGACCTTAGCGATGCACTAATTCTGACGGAATGGGGGTCAAACAGGGACCCAGACAGACTTAATACTATTGGTAGCAACATCATCAAAGTGGCTGGGCGACCATCTGGGCCTGCTCATGGGTAAGGTCTTCCTGTCAATGCTAGGAGACGTTTCAAATGTAATTTATAATAACAATCATTTTAATGATAAAGATATTATTGTTTATGTATTGGTGAACTTGAGAAATGTCGAAAGAGACGAAAGGAAGCAATGTATAAGCATTGGATGGGCACAAAAAGATATGCACTCCTCTATAAAAAAATTTATTCAAATTTCTAGAAAAACAAAATAGCAGCTGTGGAGCAGCTAAGAAACTCCCAGTTTTATCAATAAACTTTGCTTTTCCAGTTGTATTTAATTCTTTTACGTGCTCTGGTAAGTATTCAAAGTAATTGCATTTCAGTTCATTTTCTATTGTATCATGCTCTCTAGTTACCAAACAGACCCTTTAGAACTCAATATGCATAAAAAATCAAGAAACTTTGCGAAGTTTCTGTTAGAAAAATTGTGTATTTTAGATTTTTTCAACTCTAGCTGCCCTGATATTTTTTCACTAGGTTTTGTTCTAGCTGAAAATGAGATAGATTGTGTTCTACCCTTTTGGTTTAGAATTTAACTCCAGAAGAGAGGATAATAGATGCTAGGCATATTGAAATATAATAGCAACTACACAGATGCTAGGTGATCACATTAAGCTTCCAACTTGAAACCATTCTTTTCTACCTTCCAAAAGAGAAGATTTTGTAAATTTATCTATTTCGCGCGACAAATGCTTACAAAAACTCCCATTTTGCTCAAAGCGTACGGTCGGTGGGCTCAGCAGCGCTCAACATGGCCCTCATAGCCAGTGGCTGTGCCGATGTTTATTACGAATGGGGGATTCACTGTTGGGATATGGCAGCTGGCAAACTAATTATCGAAGAAGCTGGAGGTGTGGTTTTGAGTACAAGTGGTAAGATAATAATTTATTTTCTATCATACGCCATGTTGCATTGTACATTTTTCGTTTTATAGTGCGGCTAGTCATTAGCCTGTAATCAAAACTACAAGTTGTCCCGTACAACTCAATGTTTGGGGATCTCTTAACTAGCCATTTTGGTTCATAAAGACCAAACTAAAACTTTTGTCCGAAAAGTAGCTTTTTTACAATTTCAATGCAGTTGGGAAGGAGCAGTATACTTTAACGAGGATAGTCTTTCTATATCTTTATGTGTTTAGAAATAGGGAATTTAAAGGTCAGACCTTATAGAAACATGCAAAACAAAGAAAGGTTTTGCAGTTTGGATAATATTCCGAATAAGGAGGAACATGATTATCAGATTTTATCCTTATACTGTTTTCACATGGACAAATGACACAAGAGGGTCGTATCTCGAGTGAGTCGATCTAGTAACAGTCGAATAACTAAAGAAGTCCCAGTTCCTTTATAATGAGGGTTATCCATGGGCCTACAGTCTTAGTCTTAATTATTCCTTCTCGTTCTATTATAGGCGAATCATTCGATTTATTAGGTTGCAATGTGCTATGTGGTTCATCAGGAGTATTGCTGTCGCAAGTAAGTGAACAACTGACTCAAATATCTGTTGAGAGGGACTGAACCAGATTCTTTAATAATTAAAATTTTTGAAAGTTCTCTAAATGGTAGTAGAATTATCATAAAGAATTTTTAGAAGAATATTGAAATGAACATGTAAGAGACGAGTTTTTATATTTTCTCTTTGTGGCTTAAGCACTCCTATTGAAATTTTTAGCAGCCCGGCTTACGCAGTCTGGCTTGTATGTTAGAGAATTTTAAAAAAAGCTTCATTTGCTATTGAGATTTGCCATCTGATGACGACTGTGAAAATATACTTAGTTCAGTTTACCAGTAATCTCTTGTGCCAAATTTCTAAGACGACTATTCCAATAAAAAATCACAGTAATAAGTGGCAGAAAAAAAGACATGTTAAAATGCTTAGTCCCATAAATTTCAAAGTGCTTTCAATACGCCTTTTGAAGAAGGATACATGAATGGTTAAAAGTACTATGTCCCGACATTTCGCTGGTCATTTAAATTTCCCGTTGGTTGGACTACACAATAAACCTATTGTTATGTATCCAGTCGGCAACGTAAGGCTCATTCTCAATGTTCTCTCAATCATAAACGCCCTGCAAAGCCTATTCTTAACTCTGAACGGTTGACTGACGGGACAAAGTTCCTTTAAAAAAATATAATTCACAACTTTTAAGCGCCCCCTCGATTAGGCCCCGGCTATTTAAGCGCCCCAGTGAAAAAGTCCGAAAATTGATTAAGCTATAAGCACCAAGGTGAAGAAAAGACGTCATATCGTCTGTGGTTTCTCTGAATTAACAATGGTTCAGTGAGTGCATTTCGTCGCCGAGTCATGATTTGAAACTGTCTCCTGGAAATCTAGGATATTGTAAAAATTGCGACAATTCCCCTCTGGAATCCCCTCTTGCAGCTGTCATTTCTATAGGAATAAAGTCCGCGCACCAAAGACCTGTTTTGGTTTACGATATTTTGGAATCAGAATGGTATTAAGTTGAAGGATTCTTCTAAGGAATTCTGTATAGACATCAGAGATTACATTTTTTAGTCGACAATGTAAGGGAAAGGCCCGAGAGCTGTTAAACAAGTTCTATAAAAGGAAAAGAGGGAGGGATAAGGAAGAGAGGGAGGTAAGATCAAGTTTGTGAGTGTGTGAATAAAAGAAAGGCCACGATAGCAGGCTGCTCGACGAACTCCGATGGGATTCTTGCGGCAAAGAATCGATAAAATAGTAGTAAATAAGTAACACCACAACACGACGAGAATGAACAACAACACATAAATCAGTTATGGCTAATATTTCATCCTGGCGTACGAACTTCATCAGAGCAAAAGTAAACGGAAAGATCAAGTTTTTGATGGTTTTAGTTTTAAATAAAGACTGGCCTGGCCATTAGAGTCTGGTTATAAAACATGAAAATCAAAACTGGCCTATAAACAGAAGAGAGAGGTATTTTTGATCACAGTTTGTGTGTCACCGTGTAACTTAGTAAAATCTTGCTAAAAAACGTTTTTTGGGATTTTGTAACACACACAAGAATCCTCTGTGTGTGTGTCTCACCTGTGAACGCTGCTTACCATAGTGTGCCAAAAATTTCTCTTCTTTCCCAGTACTTTGAATTTATATAGTTTTGAATGAATTTTTATTGTCCATTCCGTTTAGGCAAGTCCATATAGAATGATAATATCTTACACCCTAAATAGCACAGCACCCTTAGTTTTTACCTTTCTTTGAAGAAAAGCCCTTTCCTTACACATGAATACTACAGCGAGAATAATTACCGTTATTAAAGATTCAGATATATACAGATTTAAACTGCCGTTCCGGCCCAAAGGAAATATTCTGAGCAGGCTTTAAATATTCGAAGAGCCCATTTCAACGAACACTCATTTCACACTCATCTGCTCAATAAACAATGCTAACTAAATAGGTCAAATTTATCTTCTAGGTATGCCCCGTTAGCAAACAGTCGTTGATAAAATGGCCTAGGTTTACATTTGTACTGTCCGGTTAAGAAATCTTGGCTGCCTTTTTGCAACTCATCAATTTTATCTGCGTTTAATAATGTGTTTGATGTCCTATTAAAATTTCTACAACAACCAACAGCGCCAATGTCCAGCGGATGCGCTTCAGTGTTAAATATATATCCAAGGCTTCCCATCAAGCATTGCGTCGGCTCGTTGGGTCTTGGTGAGAAGATTGAACCATCACTCTTATGAATAAAATTGTCCTCATCAAATAAAAGGAACAGGTATTTTGTAGTTTCTGCCAAGAAGAACGATTCCATGCGGTCTTCTAATTCATGAGTGTTGACATTGCGTACCTAGGAAAAATATGAAAACGATTTGAAAAATATAAGGATAAGGATAATTAGTGCACAAATCTATTCGACAAGCCATGACAACAACAATCAACAGCTTCTAGAGTTGCTGCTTAAATCACAAATTCATGTTTACATGATAATGTATGTGACAGCAATAACAATAAAGTTTTTGTCATCATAACATATATTTGCATATGATGATGCTCATTGGAAAAATGAACCTGTAGCGAAAGACTAACTTATTTCACTTATTAATAATCATTTATGTTCGTTATACTTCTAAATAATAGAAATCGTGGGAAAATAGATTCTCATTGCCTAATCATACATACCTTACTGAAAACTACCCTATTTGGCAAAACATGCAAAGTCAAACCACGAAATGGCGAAAACAAAGGTTTTATATGTACATAAAAGAATCAGTAAGAAGTTTGGTATGTGCATAAAGAAACAAAACAAAAGAAAGGAAACACAATGTATGGTTAATACAAACTCAAGACGCCCCTGTTCTCAACTGCATCAATTAAAAAAACATTTCTAACAAGTAGCATTTCGACATAGCAAAGAATCATTTGGAAGTATGAAGTATAAAAGTCTGCTTAACGTACAGTTGCATATCCACATGGCGTTCTTGTGTGTCTTTCTATAGATTCTAGGATGTCTACTCCAATTTGTAGATAATATGGATCTTTCGTGGCTTGATATAAATACATCGTGCTTTCAATAAGCTCTAAAATCCAAGCGATAGTTATTTTTATTAATTTTTATCAATTTGTTATGATGGGCTGCTTTCAAAAAATGACAAAAAACAAAGCGAGGCCAACTAGCAAAAACGAGATAAATTACAATGATTTTTACATGTTTACCTGTTTTATAATAATGATAATAAAAAGAATGCATGCCAAGTCACTTATTATATATGCTTCTTGAGGCTTAACGAGACTAGACAACATTAAACTAGAAGCATCCAACCTTACATGCGATAGGCCAAGTGAATTTAGCTAGGAACAGTCAATTTTTGTAGCTAAATATGCAAACATTTTGTTAGCTGTTCGCGATACCGCGAAGCACTGGCTGTTTTCAGAACCAATTGTGAAGATAGCATGAAAGTGAGAGGTCCCCATTGCTTATGACAAGGGAAGTTGAAAATAAGCAATGAGTCATCATCAAGTTTTGTTTGAGAGGAAGGCTGCTGCTCCAATATGTTTGAAAATAGAAAGAAGAATTCAGTAGACACTCCCATTTAAGACTCTTGCGCAACCGGCATGCTTTGCGACTTTAATTCAAAAGACCTTCCTAATATTCTACTGCATGAAAATACAAAACACAGTCTATTTCTCAAGACAATTTACAATTAATTTGTGTCTGGCAATTTGATGTAGGAAATCGTTGTCAAAGACTTGTGTCAATTTTTTATCATACAAAATCAATACAGACATTAATAATGCTGTCATTTTGGCTGATTTATCTCTAGTTTATACCTGGTCTAAGCGGGTAGCCCTCTCTACCATGAAAGGTCTCCGTTGACGCAATCTGATAAAACTCTGGCGTGAATCCAAACTTTTTCCACACACTATGATATTTGAACAGCGTACGGGAAGCTTCTCCTATATCTCCAAGAAGAGTCTGTGAAAACACATTCAAGGCAAATAGGTTAAGCGGAAAATGTTACTTAGCGTCAATGCAGGTTGGGTAGAGGGGCCTTACATAACAGATTTTTCCTCAAAGGTAGCTTGGTTGACACAAGACTACTTCAATTAAACTACAGATACGATTATATTTCAAAGGATTGTATGTATTGCTTTGTGTTAGCTTAAAGGCACTATGTCCCGATGCATTTCGCTGGCCATTGAAATTTCCTATTGGTTGGATTACACAATAGACCTATTGTTACGTATCCAATCGGCTAATTCTCAATGTTTTCTCGATCATAAACGGGCTGCATTGTTAACTGTGAACGATTGCCTGACGGGATAAAGAGCCTTTAACTACCTTTGTTGAAATAACTTGACGTTAAGATAGGGTTAGCTCTTTAGACGCATTGATGATGATTCTACACCATAAAATGGAACAACAGACAGTATTGCAGCAGCAAAACAAAGCATGTTATCCAATTTATCTGTAGACCAAAGAAATCCAATTTTTGCAACTGAGATAAAAATATTGATTACTTTGAGCAACAGCTGTATTTGTGAATACTTTGGCTTGTACAGGGATTTCTTAACATTTTTTTCAGTTGATCTTAACAAAAAGCGCATAACTCTGATGAAACTGTTAAGTTATCAAGGTTTTGTTTTATGCCCACGGCGGAATTCCTTAACAAAAGTTTAAAAAAAAGATGCATACTAACTTGCAATCCTGGCCAATAGGCATCCAGTGATTGGAAAACAGGCAACGAGATCGACGACTTCTCCATGTGAACCCAAACGTACCAGTCATCGAATTTCAAGTATTTGTGAATCTTTTTATTCAGTTCTAAGGCAAAGATTGAAATGTCATCAGATAAAAGGCATTTCTTGCCAAAGTACGACCCTTTTACTCAATATATTTACACAAACGCATCCCTACACCACTTTCTTTATGACGAAATGAGGTTACCACCAATAAGCACTAAGTATTTGAAGACTCAGTCCACTCCAGCCCGTTTTCTTTTTCGCCCGTCTTGTGGATATCCTGTACCCGTTCACATTGCGGGGACTAGAATGCATTGTTCGCCCATTTACGCTGAAACAACAATTAAAAATAATCTGTTATGATGTCATGACCGTTCACATAGCTTCGTTTCTATGAATGTGTTGCGGAGTTAGCAAAACTCTTAGTTTTTTGTGCAGTCAAATTGATCCACTGAAAACTTGAAAACTTTCATTTTTGTACATATTCACTTTAGAGAAAGATTGTTAAAAAAGTTATATTTTTGCACACTTTTGTTCGGGTCGACCAAAACGCTTCCACTATAATGGAAATTTTTTTCGCTGTTTCTGTACAAAACGTAACAGTGTGAGCGGGACCCAAGCGGGACCTAAATCAGCGGAGATGTAACCTTGATAGACTCGTATTCTACTTTACCTCTAAACATGTCGATAAGCTTGGTTTCACCAAACATAATTCCACCTTTTACAAGGTATTCAAAATACGAATCAACCCCTGCGCCAATACCGGAATCAACAGCCGTCCATCTTCCATCAGATACATCAATATGATTGCCAACCTAAAAGAAAGACCGTGTTTGGGACACATTTGAACTCAAAATGCTTGTAACATACGGCTTTCATTGGTTCAATCATTTTCAATTGCATAATGGTTGCTCAACAAAATTGTTATGGTAACATGCATGGGAAGTATTTTGCTAGGTTGAGTTTGATATTGGCAAAGACGAAGGAGAGTACTGACATATAACGAAATATCTCAAAAACGACCAGACCTAGATTATTATTACTGAGACGGTAAGATCCTAATATACAGAAACAACATCTTTACCTGTCAAGAGAATATCGAGCGGTTCACCAAGATCTTTAAAATAATTGTTAAGTATTATTAATAAAAATTGTTCAATTATTCTCACCAATCCTTTTGTAGATCTTTTTTTGTAAAGCGATTCCAGTGCCTCCATCGCAGCTGCTTCAAATCTTTGATCTCCTAAAAATATTAATAGTCATTTGATCATCCTTGATAGAAGCTAGATACACTTAATGATTAGGCTCAGAATCACAATTTATGATAAGAAATTCACAATTTACAAGTAGTTGAGATTCTTGATTATATTGGATATTAAAATCTAGAGGGGGTGTGATGAACCAAATCCTTGAGAAAAAACCAATCTTTTTCGTCATTTTACTGATGTTCTTTTTCTGTGCATCTGGATTTTACTCCAACCCCCGAAACTATTGAAGTAAGTGAAACAAATATTCGTGTTTACAGTAAGTCTCAACCTCAAGCTAAAATAAATTGATTAATGCTCAAAGGATTGTTACAAAACCAGTAATTTTTGCAAGTTAAGCGTGATTTTACAGGACAAGCCCTACAAAAGAAAAGGTAGAGACTCGTACAACTTTTCAAAAGATTAAATTGCAAGTGAAATCTTGTTTCCAATTCCGCGTGAAATGTATGTTTAGAGCTACCTGTAAGTTGGGTAAGTGTTGCAAACTCCAGAATGAACGTTCCGACACTGGCAGTACATGTTATTGTCGTTTCACCCTCAGGCACTCCCTTTAAGAGATTGACTGTACCATATGGCATAGAAGTTGAAGTATTGAAAGCTAAAAGACATATACAACTGAACGATAATAATATTTAAACAAAAAGTTTTTCAGGGACACCTAAGAATATCAACTATGGAATTTTTCTTTTAGAAAATAAGCGCTAGGCCTCTGAAAGAACTTGGTTAAATGTTTTCTTGATTTTAGCAAAGCCGTTTTGGAAGTTTATAATACTTAAACAATAATGGACGAAGTGCTTGTAAGTTTTCCCTCCAATATGTTGTAGAGGGGAACATTATTTAACTCAAATGTAATGTATAATAGAAAACAAAGTACTGAATCCTTCCGCAAAGATATCATACAAGGTTAAAAACAAAAAGACCATGTCTTTTATAAATGGGGATTCATTTTTATGGGCTCTCAGGATAGGAAGTTGAGATCTCAGAATAAGAGCCATCTCTGATGTTAAAAACGGAATAGTAGGAAATATTTAATATAAAAAAATTCTAGAGGTGATTTATAACTTTAGCCAAGCATGATTCTAGAAGTAATAAGGGGAAAATATCTCACAGCATCATTATCATTGTAAAATTTCCAGGAAATGAACAAACACATATCAAACCTGGCAATAGTTTTTCAGCAGCTTTTTTTGCTAAATTTAACAGCTTGCCTTGACAAGGCCAGCCTGGTTCTAATACTGTTGTTGCTTTGTTCATAAGAAGATGCGCAGAAAGAAGTCCTCCAATAACTGATAGTGTGAATGAAAAGCAATGAACAATCATAGCATTAAAAAGTGCCATTGACAAAATTTACAGTCTAAGTCTACTGCTAAGGTTAGAAAATAAACAAATAGGTTTCTAATTTTTAAAAGATTTGAGTGATACTGTTGCAAATATACACAAAGAAAATCAACAAAGCTTTAAGAATTCCTATTAGCTATAGCTATACATTATAGCCTTCTAATTCTGAAAAGGTATTAAAGGAGCAACACAGTCACCATTGAAAATTCAAAGGTTGACAGCTATTCTAAACTCGTGTTCAACAAATTTTTATTCATGTGTCTTCTTGGAAGAGGGCTGTTGTGCATTTAAAAAGAAAGGCTACGTTTTCTTATGACTGACCCAATTTGTTGCTTGATGTTTTATAAGATACACCAATACAATATGTTGAAAAATTTGAAATATGTTGAAATAAATTCTTTAACAAATGACCTGTATAAGGAAAAACATTTTTTCTGGGGCCGAAAATTGGGTGGGCTATAGCCTGGTTGGCCTGACCTGCCATGTAGCCCAAGCCTCTGAGCTATGTATCTATTACGGGGCCTCAAATATTGAATTCTTGTTGCTTGATCTTGGTTCTGTACTCCTATTACTCTTTTCGAAAATATTTTCAAGAAAATCACAAATAGCTTATATAGAATACAAATATAGCTACTAAATTAATGACTTGGTATATTTTGTACAGAACATCATACCTCTAATATTTGTTTCAAATACCGAAACATTTATGTCTTTTTCAAAGGTCATTTCGTCTTCTATGATTTTTACAACTCTTAGAAATTCAGAAGAGTTCCCCATGATCTACAAAGAAATTTTTTGAAACAAAAATAAGGCATGTTAAAAATGGTATAAAAGATTTCTTGAGAATTATCCACATCATTTTTCTGTTCAAGGGTTCTACTGGCCCCTAATCTGTTTTCTGCTATATATGTTACCCCATAGTGAGCCTAGAGTATTTATGTGTCTACCAACAAGGATGAGAGGAAACAATGTTATCTGCCACACCAAGAAAAATATTAGTAATGTTGATATTAAACATGAAAACAAACAACATTCTGAAAAGATTCATATGTAGATTTATACCTTAATTATGGGATTTGTGATATCAGTAACAACTTAATTTTAGAGTGGTATCATTTTCAAATAAATGCCCGCAAGTAAAAATTCCATGCTACTTTTGTTCAAGTCTTTTTGATTCAGTCTTTATGCAAGGCAGTTATGAAATAAGCTATCACTATCCAATAAGTCTATATATGTGGCCATTTGATAATGAATTAAATTTTATTGCAGGAACTGTTTTTAGATGCGACCCCTCTGATTTGAATAAGAGACGACAAACGAGAATGCCACAAACTGCAATCAAAACTGTACACAAAAAGCAAGTGAGGAATTTCTGATAATTGTGCTCTGTTTTACTATGTTTAGCTCCAATCCACTGGGCAGAGCTATTAAACACACATCAAACTTTGGGCAAAATGATTTTAAAGCAGAAAACAGAGGACAACAAGCTTACTAGGAATGGCAGAAATATATCAATTTGTGCACAAGCTCAATTTGTGCATGAGTGCAAATATATCATTTTTCAAAAAGCATTTGCAAAGTACCAAAGCATTCTGTGATAAAGGGCCTTCCCCCACAAAAGACTGAACTGGTAAAGTAAGCATCAGGTCTAAAAAATAAATTTTATTAAGAACTGGACTTTGAATTACTTTCAACCAGTTTTTAAAGTAACAAATGCAGGTAGTTTCTTACCAAGAGTGTATCAAGTGAATCAACCAAAGTTAAGTGGTAGCTAGAAAATGATATAGCTAATTATTAATAACTTGTAAAAAGAAAAGAGTTGCTAAAACATGCATCACAGAGCTTTTAGAAAGTGGGGGGGGGGGGTCTAAAAACTGTATTAAAAGAGGCTTTACTGGTAGTTCATTACTTAATATTATTTTGGAATTTTTTGGGTAAAGCCCCCCAAGCCCCCAGCTTCCGGCAGCCATGTAGCTGGCTACACTTTTTCCAAATAATGTTTCGAAAAGCTGGTATAATTATATTTCCGTGAGCCTGATCTGTTTGTTACATATCTGCTCTCTTGTTTTAAAGCCTGCCCTCCCCCTCAGGTATGGTTCTTGCTTGAGTTTGCCCACCCTAGCCGAAATCTACAGCCACGTGGTTGGCTTCCTGACGCCTGTAAAAAGGTAATTGGTTTGCCTCTTGTGGCTTGTCATGGTTAAGTCATTAAACGTCATGGCTGTAAAGGATTCTATGAAATTCTACAAATTTCATTAGATTACTGTACAGGATCCACATCAAAACCAGAATCTCCACTTTATAACCAGAACCAAAGTATGCTGTATACACTTTCAAGCTGTATATACAGTATATACCTACTTCTATACCGTATTTTTGGTTTGGACCAATCACAAAGCCGCATTTAAGCTTCTAGTAGCGTGTCTGCTTAATGCCGGCCCGTTAAGCTGCAAAAATATTTGATGTACTGCCACTCTTTTGAATTGAACCTACTACATACAACTAAATGAATAAACGACCAAACAAACAAAATGTCTAGCTCTGTCCAATAAACCTAAAACCATAGGCGTAGGAGATGAAGGGGCTGGGGGTGGGGGGGGTCGATGGCTGCAGAAAAAGCTATGGCACTAAGGCTTTATTCAGATAGTTTTATATTGATGAAGTTATAATATTCGGCAAGAGCACTATTCCTGTTCAAACAAATTGAGACTTCCAATATCATAGACCAAATAGTCAACATCAATCAATAACACATGCAAAACTGACAACTTTAACACTTAATGTGGACTACACTTAGACAAGCACCAGATATTTTTGCCTAGGATATATACAAGTTCAGAAAGGCCATCATATAATAAAAAAATCATCATACCTTCCCCATGTGTCATGACCAGTACATGATATTGGCCTTAACTCATCATAAGGAAATCCATAATTAAGATATCCATTGTAACCATGGTAGAACATTGTTCTTGCTTTTTCTCTGTAAAAGAACTGAAGCTATAGCAGACTTTTTGTATTAAGATGTACTACACAAAACAACCAGACTGCATAAACATCTTGTAGCTGATTTGTATTAGAATATCAGATATTGCAAAGATGCACATAATGCAAATCTATGGCCCAAATTGATAAAGAATACGAAGACTATAAATTGATAAAGGCAAGTTGGATATGTCATATACCATCACATAGAACACATACCTATACAATTTCATGTCTCTCTTGCTTATACTATTTACTGTAAGCAATAAGGTAACCAAAATGATAGCAACTTTGAAAAGATGCATTTTCGTATCAATAAAGTTTATCTTCAGGCAGTGTAGTACTCTGAAATAAAAAGAAATCAAGATAATTTATAGGACTGTCAGAAATTTTTATGGTTAAATTGTACACAACGAAACTTTTCAATAAGTTTTGCTGAATCATGTTTTTTAAAAAGACAGCCGGCCTGTTAAATTTGGCTTATTTACTCTCAAGTCAGAGTTCTATTTTCACAAAAGGTGCATATATGGAAGGAACTGGAAAACTTGTTGAAACTGAAAGAAAAGAACAAAACAAATTTAGCCTCCATGTGTTTTCATTGGCCTAAGCGGTTTGAGGTTTTAAATTTTTTTCAGAATTTCTTAACATTGATAATGAGAATATGACATCTATTTAAATAATCTTTCGACAGGGACAAGAAAATACAAACTTACCATTTTTTGTATCAACACTGATGCTCACGCAGTTATACAAACGAGACAGACTTTGAAGAGAGGTCAAGTGCTCTCCCTCCACGTCCGAGTTTCAAACTGACTCGTACATATTAATGGCGGCAAAATTCAAGTAAAAATGTGAGTGCATTTGAAATTTTAATTATTCTATGCCCACAATCCAAATTAATTTAATTTCTGTATAGATGAATATTTTCAATGTGATTTTGTTGATTTGAGATATTTTGTTAAAATTTTTATCAAAAATTGTTAAAAAGCGGATCGGCTAAGTTTTTCCAATCCAACCAAGGAAATGTTTAAAAATTTAATGCTCTGAATATTCCATTTTCGTAGTATTTTGGGGAATTTTAGTAGGTACCTGTTTTTCCTAAGAGTTCCTTAATCATGATATCATTAATCTTAACATCTGGGGTAATATCTATATATAATTTTACAAGCTAGTAAAAATGTTATTTCCTGTACCAAAGGCTGTGGAACTAGAAATATATAGACCTAAACTCAAACTCAAACTCAAAACATTTTTTTCAGCAAATCAATTAATTACATGTTACGTCATTTAGGTAAGTTGTTTAAAATTCAATTATTAAATCCAAAATTACATAAGAAGATTAAAGAAAGAGAAAACAACCCCATATAAGAATAAATCAGCTGATGGACACATGAAAAAACTCAAGATAGAGCTATCAAAGCCATGTGCCCGGTTGACATTATTTGACGACAACTTTACAATTCATTTTGGTTTGCATAACAGTAAAAATGAGATAATAGAAATGTAAAAAACACTAGAAAAAAGCAAGGGAAATGAATAAAGAAAAAGAAAAAAAAACTATATTAAAGATAAAAAATTGGAAAATTAGGTTTATAGTATGTGCTGGTATTTTCATCATATTCGATTAGGTCGGACTTTCTAAAAGGTAGTGTTTCATTTTATTTTTGAAAGATATTTTGTTGTTGGCTTCCTTCAGATCTAGTGGCAAAGAGTTCCAGAGCTTAATACCGTCAAATGTAAGAAAATTTCTTTTAGAATCAGTTGATATTGCTTGTAGGGAAAAACCAAAGCCTGAAGACTGTCTTGTATTGTAACGGTTAAGTTTTTTTGTTTTTAGACATTCATGTCCAAGAGTAGTGTAACTGCTGTCTTTATTAATTTGGAACATAATTTTGCTATCTCAAGTTTGTATAGTTTGTCAAAGTTCAGTAGCCTTAAGCGTTTAAAAATGGGGTCACTGTGAGCAGTATACGGAGCAAAGTCAGTTGCTCTAATTGCTTTTTGTAAGTTGCGTTTCAGGGGTTCTAAGATCGATTTTCTTGCACATCCCCAATTCAGTATACCATAGAGTGCATGAGATTGAATAAAAGAGTTATATAGCATTCTTAAAGTGTTTTTGGAGACAAAATGTCTTAGTTTATAAAGAATCCCAATACCTTTAGATATTTTAATGTTCACTTCCTTTAATGTTCACCTAAGTCTTAGGCCAAGACACACAACACAAGGAAACTTGTATTCTGTGATATGTTGTATTAAATTTGTGAAAATTGTAGGCAAACACTTAAAGGCATGGTGTTGCGCTAATCATTGGCAATTGTTTGTTGAATATCGAGGGTCCTGGAAATTAGAGAAGTGTGACAAATTAGTACAACTGATCAATAACAAGTAGCAGGCAAACTCGCTGAAATAGAAATTTTGTTCTTTGTTTTGATAAACCAATGAACGGCATGACGTACAGCCTTTAAGATTGCTTGATGTGATACATGTCGTGGATGATTTATTATTGGTCTTTATTCCAAGAAGTGACTTTGCGCGGCCTCTTTCATCATATGTCTTTGGGGGTGTCTTTGCATGCTAGCTATTGAATCAGTTTGATCATGCGAGACATATCATTGTCCTGCCTGTATCCTTGCGAGCTATTTTTTGTACATTTAAATCAAAATTCAATTTGCCGCCATTGTTCCAAAGATAAAAGATTGCAGGAAAAGATGATTCCCCAAAGATGTGCTGGGGTGCTAGATACAAAAAAACAAGTGCCTGTTGCACAGAATTTACAATTTCCTCCCTTTAGGCTCACTAGCTTTTTCATGTAGTTAATTCTAAGATTTCTCTCTACTCTTTAAATCCAAAATTATTTTTGAATAGCCCTTATCCTAGATATGGCAAGGGATGCAAGATTTGAAGATCAATAAGATTTTTCAATGTTGATTTTCATTCTTTAGTGTCCCATGTAGCTGGTAAATTGGCTCTTTTAACAACCTATTTAGTACAGAATCACAGAATCATGTATTAATAACTTGGTTAAGATTGAAAAAATACTTGTTTGCTTATATATTTTATGTTTAGTCCTATTGTGTCAAGTACTTATATGCTTTATAAGATACCTTACTCCTAGTACATTGTGTTTACAGTGAGACAGAATATTGTCTTAAAATGTTTACAGTTGGTTTAGTACAAATTAGCTTGTTAAATCAAATTACAGTTGGTAATAGCGGCTTATGATTAAGTAGATTTATTTACTTTATGGAGTTAAAAACCATAAACAAATATGTAAACCAAGCCTTCTTGGTTTCTTGGTGTCAATTAAGGGGATGCCTTAATGACCTTTTTTCTTTGATTTGACCAATTTCCATTTTGGTAAAAGTTTTGAAATAATGAATTAGCAGCTTGTGCTGGGGAAATTGCCTGAGAATGCAATATTATTTAATGACAAAATCAGTTATATAGGTTATAATTCATTAATATATAACATTTTATAATGATTTATGCCATTTGGCAAGAATATATTTTGCCATTTGACTAAAAGAAATGTATCAGAAGTTATTTTTGTTGAGTGTCAAAAACAATGATTTGAATTGAAAGTTAGAAACTGGCTGCTCAATTAGAATAACAATTTAGTATGGATAAAACTGACCAAATTTCAAATGTAAGTCAATGGCAAATGAACCTTTTCAGTTTTACAAAACAACTATTTCCACAAGGAAAAAATTCAGCCTAGTTTTATAAGCTCAAAAAATTGAACTGGATTCTAAATATGTGATTTATCAACATAAATTTGATTTTGTTTCAACATACTTAAGTTTTTTGATTGTTGTAATTATATTTAGTCTCCTGCACTTGGAACCTTTTTTAAAAGAAATTTGACATTTTTGTTATTGATTTTTTGTAGCAGATTATGAAATCATGGAAATTCCACCGATCCATTGCTGTAATATGGTAAAAAAAAATTAATTTTATTCAGGCATGATTTTCTTCATTAAAACAAGCATATTATGATGATCACTTTGAGCTGGACAAATGCCGAGCTGTCAGTTTAGTTGTCTGTCAGCTACCTATCAATTCTTTTGTCATGGAAATGGTATCTGTCTAAGGCGATTTTTCGAGTAGTAAATAATAAATGTTCTTAAGAGTTTTATGGCTAGTAAAAACTCTAACATTACTAGTCTCAACACAACAAGTTACATATATGCCTTGTGATCACAGATATATTTATGTATAATAAAAGAACCATGTGATCAAGAAAAACTGATGTCTTCATGTCATTTTTAAAAGTCTTTTCAATAATATTTTAACATTTTGAACCATTTCTCTCTATATACAATTTTTATGCTATTTTTCTGATAGACATCTTGACATAAAACTGGTTGTCCTACTATTTGTAGAAAGAGACAAGAAACAATGAAGTATTGTTGTTAACCACGAGAACAAAACAATTAAGCATTATTGCAGAGAGGATAAAACCTGGAAAACTACAAGCTGAAAGTGACTATTTAATTATCTCTATTCAGCTTCCTCTTGTCTTTTCTAGTTAACAATAGAAAATGAAGCTCTTTCAAAAAAGTACCATAAGCTGACAAGAAAATATAAAGTACTAGAGAAGCAGTTTGCTGAATTAAGAGAAAAGCTTATCCGCGATGCTGCTGCAAAGGAGGTCATTCAAGCTTTTCAAAGGTAAAGAAGCAGCCATGTCTTTGGTTAATTATATATTTAGAATTTGATGCAAACGTAGCAAAAGCAACATGATATAACGTGAGCAAAAATTTCCGAAGCCCCTACTTTTAATCCAACCCGAACTCTCTTAAAGAAATTGTACCAAAACACCAGGAAAAGTCTTAAAAAGCGCATTCGACAGAACCAAAACTGATGATGGCAATGTATCAGTTGCAAAAATAGTAGGTGCAAAACAATGAAGACAGAAAACGACCATTTTCAACTTTTCCAATTTCCTCCGTCAATTGTTGCAGCCCCCGATTATTATTAAATCGAACCATTTCTAGCTCCTCTGATTATTCGCATCCCCCAGTTTATTCGGAACCCGAGGGTAAATCAACGTAGGAACCGGGGGTATATGCCCTCCACTTTTCATCGTTAACCAGAAAAAGAGGTTATGTTCCTATTTGAAGCCCCTCCCGACTTCTTAAGTGCTTTCTCTATCTAGCTCCAGTAAAATAAGTATTTGTACATGGAGTACGGTTTGAACATGAAATATAAACCCTTCAATTTTGTTATTGACCCCAAATATAAGCTTCGTCCTAACTTCTTTGACGATGATGACGCGCCTGTTGTCAATTCCCATTAATTTCAGTTATAGCTGCATGCGTGACGACAGGATCATGATTCTG